TGCCTGTTGGGAGTTATACTGTTTAGAACATGGTATCCAACCTGATGGTCAGATGCCGTCTGATAAAACTATTGGAGGTGGAGATGATTCCTTCAACACTTTCTTCAGCGAGACGGGAGCTGGTAAACATGTTCCACGAGCTGTTTTTGTTGATTTGGAACCAACAGTAGTAGATGAAGTCCGAACTGGTACATACCGTCAACTCTTCCATCCTGAACAACTCATCACTGGTAAAGAAGATGCTGCTAATAACTATGCCCGAGGTCACTACACTGTGGGTAAAGAACTCATTGATCTGGTCCTCGACAGAACTAGGAAGCTGGCTGATCAATGTACCGGTCTCCAAGGATTCCTAATCTTTCACAGCTTTGGTGGAGGAACCGGATCTGGTTTCTCTTCCTTGTTGATGGAAAGACTGAGCGTCGATTACGGAAAGAAATCCAAATTGGAGTTTGCTGTTTATCCTGCTCCACAAGTATCAACTGCTGTTGTAGAACCTTACAACTCTATCCTAACAACCCATACCACATTGGAACATTCCGATTGTGCCTTCATGGTGGATAACGAGGCTATCTATGATATCTGTCGACGAAATCTCGACATTGAAAGACCAACCTACACCAACTTGAACCGATTGATTGGTCAAATCGTCAGCTCCATCACAGCTTCACTCCGATTTGATGGTGCATTGAATGTCGATCTTACTGAGTTCCAGACCAATTTGGTACCTTACCCACGTATCCATTTCCCTTTGGCTACCTATGCACCAGTCATTTCTGCTGAGAAAGCTTACCATGAACAACTTTCTGTGGCTGAAATCACGAACGCTTGTTTTGAGCCAGCCAACCAGATGGTCAAATGTGATCCTCGTCATGGTAAATACATGGCTTGTTGCATGTTGTATCGAGGTGATGTTGTTCCCAAGGATGTCAATGCTGCTATTGCTACCATCAAAACTAAGAGAACCATCCAATTCGTTGACTGGTGTCCAACTGGTTTCAAAGTTGGTATCAACTACCAACCACCAACTGTTGTACCAGGAGGTGATTTAGCCAAGGTCCAGAGAGCTGTTTGTATGTTGAGTAACACGACTGCTATTGCCGAAGCTTGGGCTCGTCTTGATCATAAATTTGATCTAATGTATGCTAAGAGAGCCTTCGTCCACTGGTATGTTGGTGAAGGTATGGAAGAAGGCGAATTCTCTGAAGCTAGAGAAGATTTAGCTGCTTTAGAGAAAGATTATGAAGAAGTTGGGGTTGATTCTGTTGAAGGTGAAGGAGAAGAAGGAGAGGGAGAAGAATATTAAAATCCAATCAAACATTGGACAGATAAATCTACATTTCAAAATCAATAGTTTTGTGAATAAAACACTTGCATACACCGTAATTTCGTCTTTGTTATTTGTATACGATAGATCTAAACTATCATATCCAACTAGCTTGTGTATTGAGCATTAACCCAACTTGAAAAATCAGAAGGTATCCTTTGCGTCAATCAACACGGTTTTTGGCCTTCTCCTCCTGAGTTTCAGGGTTGATGCCTAGGTTGTTTTGAAGATGTCTTTAAATCTTTTTTTGGCTTAGCTCAGATGCTTAGGCAGGCGATCATCTGTCATTCTGACAATATTCCCTGTTTGCCCGGCTTTGTTCTTTTGTAGGAGAGTGTGGATGCTGGGAAATCCTGTTTGGATCTGTGTGTTGGATAAGATATAATCTTATTAGGAATATTCATCTCAGTCCGCGAATGTTTATCTGTTTGGTGTATCTCGGCGCCAGTCTCCAGAAATTGGCAGACTCAATTGGAAGGGGGGACAACTGTCCAGGCTGATTTCAGAATGCAAGCCTCTCGTTGAGCTTCTGAGAGGGTTCTCCCAGGAAAATTAAAAAAAAATTGATGTGGTACATTCTGACACATGTTTAAGGGCAAAACTTATAAAATCATACATCTAAATTTTGTAAAAAAATGTTTGACCATGTTCGCCATTGTTGAGAAAGCCGTCCAGGCGATCAAAAATTTGTTCACGAACTCAGGCATGCAAATTTTGAACACATGGTTGATCGTGTAGACGGTGCCTAAAGGAACAGGTGCCATTTCTGGGGGTTGGAAATCAACACCCATTTAAATAAATAGTATTCAGAAATACTAGAAATGTACCAGTTGGAGCTTGAAAAATGATACAATTTAAGCGGTAGGCTATCGCATCGCAAATTTTCTCAAAAAACCTATAATATGATTAATCTTAGCCAAAATTAAATCAAATATTTTCAGAATCCGAATTTTTGCCAAAATATAGTATGTCATGGTTTACAGACTCCGTCAGACAATACATGGCATTGAGGAACTATAGAGGCTGGTTCCATTGTATTATTACACGTTTTATTATAATATATCATTTGCGAAACCAATCAGAAATCTACAAGTACAACCGAAACATTTTGAATTACTTAAGAATTTTTATGAAATGAGATTCAAAATTTTTAATTCAAATGGTGGTAGTTTATAGACGTTTTACTTCAAGGGAAGCAATTCTGTGCAATTTCATTTGACCACTGAGGCTATTTATGTAATATTTTCAATCCAATTTTAATCCTTAGTTATGGCAGTATCAAAATGGTTCACGTGATTGAAGACGGCAATCTTCGAAGTACATGTACTGTAATTCGAAGCATTGCACGGAGATACACTAAGTACCTCTCAATATGAGAGAAAGTCTCTTAAAAGTCTCTGCGTCTACCTAACCACCTCCGTCAGCGTCCACTGACATCGTCACCAATGTCTACCTAACCTACAAACGTATTCTTATCTCTCCTTCAAAACTGTTCTCATGTACAGTGCACTCATTTCTTGCTACTTCACTCCATCTCTATTATTTCTTGTTTCTTTTTCATGTTTCTTCTTCTTCCCTCTTTTTCTTCCTCTCTACTTCTCCTTGTGCCCATCCCTTCTCATTCTTTCTTTCTACTTCCCATATCTTTTCCTCTTCATTATTTCCCTATAGCTCTCTGATTCTTCTTGTGTCCATTTTTGTTTCTCCATCCTTTCCCTATACTTCCCATATCTTTTCCTCTTCCTTATCTTTCTTCCTCTCTACTTTTCCTCGGGCCCATCACTTGTCTCTTCATCCTTACTCATCTCTGTACTTCTCCTTGCGTCTCTCCCCTTTTCTTCATCCTTCCCCTATATTTCCCATATCTTTTCCTCGTCCTTATTTCTCTCTCTCTCTACTTCTCCTCGGGCCCATCACTTGTCTATTCATCCTTACTCATCTCTCTACTTCTCCTTGCGTCTCTCCCCTTTTCTTTATCCTTCCCCTATATTTCCCATATCTTTTCCTCGTCCTTATTTCTCTTTCTCTCTACTTCTCTTCGGGCCCATCTCTTGTCTCTTTATCCTTACTCTATACTTCCCATATCTCTTGCTCTCTACTTCACCTTGCGTCTCCCCTTGTTTCTTCATCCTTCCCCTATATTTGCCATATCCTTTCGTCTTCCTTATTACTCTTCCTCTCTACAATCTTCATCCTTTCTCTCTACTTCCCATATCTTTTCCTATTCCTCATTTCTCTACTTCTTCTTGTGCCCATCCCCTTTCTCTTCCACCTTCCTCTGTACTTCCCATACTTTTCTTACCTCTTCTCTACTTCAAATTTAAGAGCGGCATCGCAGCTGAGATTCAAAATAACTCTTTTTGTCATCCAATATTTTATAGCCATAATAAATATTTTATCACAAGATCTGCAAATCATAATGTACAGTTTTCATAAGAATATCCTTGAAGAACAGCTAGATCCAATTGAAATTTTGTGTGGCTAATTGCTTATCACACTTTTTTAATCTAAACTGAACCCTAGCGTTCCAAGCTAGAATCAGAATGGCTTTTAACTGAGATCTTAGCATGTCGCCGATTCAAGCTAGCAGCTGAACGACACTGGCGAAGCGTTCATCGCCATCGCCAAATTCCCCCCATTGAGAATAATTCACCCCCCCCCCCCCCCCCCAATTCCCCCTCCATCCAAACCTCACCTCCAAGAATTGGGGTGCAATAGGCCCCCGGTTGAGCACTGATCTAAACCCACAGGCTACTTATTCACTAGATGTTCCTATTGCTGATTATAAATATAGCCTACTGCTTCCAACACTAACTAAAATCATAAATAGGGGCCTACTATTTTTGAAACAGAGATTGTCCCTTTGATGTCCCTTCGATGTTATAGAAAAAGGCAGTTCTAGACCCAGAAGTTCTACAGAATAACAGGCTTGTGTCTAATCTCTCTTTTAATCTCATTTTAACATTCAAACTCAGATAATTCTGGACACACACATGGATTTGAAGATTCACATTTCGAAGGTGGGCTGTGAACACTATTAGCCTACTGATTGTCTTTGCTAAAAAAAAAATCCCGTTTCTGAGACAAAAGTGTTATTGGTCAAAAAAGTCTGTCCATTTAAGTATTTGGAAATTGATATTGTCTGTAATTCTACAATTTTGAATCTCATTTAGCAATTTACATTAGAAGACTACGATTCTTGGTTATGGAACCGGTTAGTCTTAATCGGAGAGAATCATTCACCATTAATGGCACTTATTCTGGCTAGCCAGCTGGTGTTATGTCGAGCCAGCCACAGCCATCAAAGGTGTTGTCATAGCTGTATCCAGCTGGTACAACCCCTCAGTCAGCCGAAAATTGGTAATATGGCTGGCTAACGGGTCTAACTTGGCACTTAACTGAAGTGGCCCCAAGTAAAATTGCCCAAAATACAATAATCAATTAATGGTCTCTAAAATTACTCTTTGATTTCAACCAAAATCATTGGTCAAACTATATTGCCGGAGAATATAGAACCACTTAAATTAAAATCGTCAACAAATTTAAAGTTAGACTGCAAAGCGTCTCAATACCCCATGATTGAAAACCCCCAACTGGATGGATGTGCCACCTTATGTTTTATTACCTCCCTTGATCGTTTAAGTTTTAATCTAGGTGGCGTTGTTTGCGAGAGATACATTCTAAGATGGCAGCGACCAGGCGGCTTCAAAAAGTAAATTCTTTTCTGTTTTAATGGTGTCTACAGTCGTTAGATCATATTTTTTCTATGGTTGTCTTCATCAATTGACGATTTTATTGCCTTCAACATTACCTGGTGCCTCAAAAACTCAAATTTGTAGCGAATAGTCAGAGTTTTCTTGAACAGGAATACATAGAAACGCCTTTGCGTTTGTCTTTGCTTTGTTTTTATCCAATGTTTAACAATTTACATGCCTAAATTAATCTCTTGTTACATTTGAGAGTTGCAGTGGAAATTGTCTTTTTTGCCAAGATTGTGTGTACCCAATTACTTATTTTATGGTCAATAAATACTTGTGTAGATAGTAAATGAGCATTCGGTCAGTGTGGTGGTGGTTGTTATTTCACATTTCATTTTCACTTTCATAACTGTTGCTTTATTATATTACATAGAAAGTTGTTGGAGAGAGAAAAATGGCCGTGACTTATATTTTACCTTATATGATCTAACTTCCTTACAACCTAAAAACACTAGCTCTGTCAGTCAAGATGTCACATGATTGTGAAATTTTGCTGATAATGATTAAGCAATAATTCATCAATAGAAAGCTGAGCTAATGCTGATTGGATGAATAAGGGAATTTGGTTCTTAGACATGAAATATCTCAATGGTGGGGGAAAAGTTCATAGGCTGACTCAGAAGGAGTAGGCCTAATGCCACAGCAATAAGACTTAGTAGTAGCCTATACAATACATTGAATTTAACATTTCTTTATACAAACAGCATTGTTTCTTCTCAGATCAACTGACGCTAATTGAGTGATTCAAAACCTTGAGAGTAGTGATAAAACATCATGTCTGAAAATTTTAATTAAGGCAAATTGAAAATAGACCACTACCTGAACAGGACAAGACTAGGGATTTATTTCCTTCCTCATTTAAGTCTCTTTATATTAAAAAAAGTCTTAATTAAAAATGGCAATTTAGGACATCAAATGAAAAAATACGTATGTAATACAATCATTAATACAGAATGTTTAAGTGGTCTGGATCCACATGCACAATGGAATAATTCAAGCCACCTTGATGGTAGGCAAATGTATATTTTTACCACAGGTCAACAGGAAGTGAAAGAAGCTTTTTGAAACTGAAAGTAGTTGTCAGTCCTTAGTATAATTGAATACAGAATTGAGGCAAACATTTGGTAAATCGAGTAAGTCAAATAAGTGCCAGTAACTGGACTAACTTGATTTACCAAATGTTTTTAAAATTTGCAAAGATGTACCACTCTTCCATTCTGCTAAAACTAATCAACTTTTTCTGGAAATGCAGGAACCACAGGCATTGGAATGTCCAAAAGTCAAAGGTGTCTCTGGTACACCTAAAAAGGCTAGAAAACCTCTTTACAATCCCTTTAAGTTTCTTTTTTTTGTTTTCGTGAAACTTATTCAATGAACCATTGTGTGATGTATGACCTCCAATGTTCTAATTTTCATGTATTTTTTGTATTTTAGGAATTGAACGATATCCGTCAATCAGATCAAAAAGGTTTCCGTGATATAAGAGTGGATGATTCTAATATATTATTTTGGCAAGGATTAATAGTTCCAGTAAGTCTTTCTCTTCAATAATCTGCATTTAAACCAAAAGAAAATGATGAGATACAATGACATTTATTCTGAACATTTTCAGTGTAGGGTGGTATAAGAGATACTCTCCCAAAGCACTGGCCTAGGTCACAAGTGGAGATTATGGCTTTCAATTGAATACATCAATTTGATAGAAAATTACCTACTTCTGGACAAATTTACAAGATGAATAGATAATTTTAAAATGCAAAGCATCCTGGAATTCTTTTTTGAAAAATAAAAAGGTTTTACAATCACACAGGCTTTTGTCAGTGTAAGCTTCATACAAGTTTAAACCAAGCATACATAATATCATAATAAGACAAATAATGAACAGATTTTGTATATATTTGGATGGTTTCATTGGCCTTTTCAAATTTTGTGTTTCAGGTGATTCCCTGAATTGAAATTATTACTTAATTATATTAACATTTATAACAAAACACAAGACAATATTATGGAATATAACACACTTCTTTAATAAGGTTAGGCACATAGCGTTGCAACACAATATATTATACATATGTCGTCATCAAGATGTAATGGCGAGAGAATAAGACATAACAAAATATATACCAACAAGAAAACAATATAGAGATTAAGAGAGACAATATATAAAAGGGTAATTATAAAGTAAGGTAACAATGCGAGCAGGTGTACTCAGCAGCAAACATGGTAGTAAAACATAAGCTAATGTGTTTAAGTTGAGGAAGACAATGGGAGGACAAATAGAAGATGGGAACAAACATATAATGAATGGGGGTGGGGGAATTAGTTCAGCTTTATTTTGGAAAAGTCTGTTGTTGCGGTTGATCTCTGGAAAGCCTCTCTGGATAGCTAGAGCTTCTCGAATTTGTCGTTGTTGCTTATTGGGGAGGTTGGAGGCTATGATATTCATAATATATTCATATTGCATATTTAAAGCAGTCAGAATAAATATTTATTGTTCATAACTGCACTGATTTGAACCCCGAGTCCATTAGGGCATACTACACATTGTTTTTTGGGGGTGGAGATATGGTACTATTCAAATCTGACCAATCAGATCAGGGAGAACGGAAATGAAGGTCATCACAGGTCATCACAGTTAATCACACTACAAACAAACAAACCATCTAGAACAAGTGATTTGATTGGCTGAATTCGGCTTTCATGTCCAATTTTGATTCGACAACATTTAGCTATGAATATGTAATTACTAATTTCACTCACTTGTAATACTACAGCCTTGAGGTATTATGACAAAGCCGGTGGTTGATGTATTGAGTAAGCTTACTAATTTAATGCCATAGTGAAATTATTATTTATTATTGATTGAAAAAGTAGGACAGATTGGGGAGTGGCTCTTTTGTGATCAATTATCATTTCACATGCATTAAAGATAGGTTTCCTTAATTTTTAGTGTCCAATTAAGCAAACTATTAGATTAATTGGTGTTTCTAATGAATTATCATGTATTCTTAATCATATCATTATGTTCTTATTGCATATAATTAAGAGTTTCAACCAATCATAAGTGTCTATGTACGATAGTCTGGATAAACAAAAAAGACTTTTTGACCTTTCTTGATCAGGTCACTCATTGGAATCCTGCTGGTAATTCTCTAATAATTTAGCTAATTATGAATTAATTATGGACATGTGAGACACACATTAGAACACCTCAACTTTCTATTCATATAAGTATTAGTATTTCCATAAATGAAAATAAGGGAACCCATCTTTAAATGCTGTATTTTAGTATGCATGTATGTTGTTCATTGCATCATATACATATATGCTGAGACTTGATATTGTTGAACTCAAATTCTTACATTTGCTTTACAGGATGTACCACCATATAATAAAGGAGCTTTTAAGATCGAAATTTCTTTCCCAGCAGAATACCCTTTTAAACCTCCAAAATTAGCGTTTAAAACAAAGATTTATCATCCTAATGTTGATGAGAAGGGACAAATATGTTTACCAATTATAAGTCCTGAAAACTGGAAACCTGCTACAAAAACTGATCAAGGTCAGTACAAAGCTTTAAAATTTAAACTCACCACAGTTTGACTTGAGGTTGCTCACCTAACAGATCTTCCCAAGTCAAATGAGTGATATTCAATATAATTGATTACTAACTGCCATCGACATAGATTCAGGTCAAATACAAAGTCTGAGTTTTGCTATAATGAGCAACTGATGTTAAGGTCATTTTCCGATTGTTTGTACGCTCAGGTTAATAGATAGATCAGAAGCGTATTCTCGAATTGATCTTAGCGCTAGGACGTCCTAAAAACAGTGTTAGAAGTTAAGACCCTATGACGTCCTATCGCTAAGATCATTTCAAGAATACAGGGCCAGATTCTCTCAGATACTGCTAGTTTCTAACACTCATTGAAAGTCCAGTTGCTCTTAAATTCTGAATGTAGAGACCAGTTCTAAATTGGTGTTAAGAGTGAAAAAGTTCCTAAAAACTTCTATGTAAAGCACTGGCCAAGGTCACAAATAAAGAGATAAATGTAATTGGTAGAAGATACAAATTGAGCATGTTTTTGTCACGATATTATTAGAGCTTCTATGAGCTCTCAGGAATCTCACAGCTAATGTCTTTGAACCATATGAGTAAAATATGTTAAATATCTTCTTTTCTTCAGTGATTCAAGCACTACTTGCACTCATCCATGATCCCGAGCCAGAGCATCCACTACGTGGTGATTTAGCTGAAGAATTTACGAAAGACAAGAAGAAATTTATGAAAAATGCTGAAGATTTTACGAAAAAGTTCAGTGAACGACGCCCCAGTGACTAAATCCAGTCGTTTTGATGGTGGACATGTTAAAAATATTATTTAAATACAAACAAATGTGATGTTACAAGCCTAAAACTTTTGATTTCAGCGCAAGAGAAAAATCAACCCAATTGAATATGTGTTGTTAGATAATGGCCGTAAAAGATGAATTCTTCATTTTTCAAACATTCTTATAATCCTGCTCACAATATAAGAGTGAAAGTGTATGAAAAACCAAGAATTATCTTTTTTTGGCCTCTTTATGTTTGATATATAATTTTGTGAAAGTGTTGAAGATTTCAACTTGAAATGCCTCCATATCAAAGATTAATAGAAAAAGACTTTTGTAGTATGACTTGACAAGTTACTCTGATCAAACAAGACTTTGACATGGTTTCATAATTGGCTTCATCTTCACATTGTCAATACATTATCAACTTCATCTAATACCTTGACACCAAAAGGCATTTTTTTAACTGAAGTTTGTTATCTGCTTGAATTGCATGCTAGCTAATACAGTCAATCAGAGCCCTTCACAGAAAGACTGTAAACAATATGGCTGCGTCTGTAATTACTAGTTCTCCTTTGCGTTGTGAGTTTACGGCAGAAATATAGAAGGAAAGTGTCTATTGATGTCAAGGTATTAGATGGAGTTTGTAATTAAATGATAATGTGGTTTTAAATTTCTTTAAACCCTAAAACAGACACAAAATCTTCTTTCAAGATACAATCTCATAAAATTTCTGTTTGAAAAATATTGCTGCCACATTGGTTCTTTTGTAAAGCATGTAAAATTTTACACAGGTATTATCTCGGCAATAGCAATTGTTTATTTTTTTTAAGGCAGATTGTTTTCTGATTGTTTGTAAATAAGTAATTGACAACTGTTTGCTCAGGTTTTGGTCTTGATATTTACTAAGCTGAAAGTATACATTAATTGGATGATTTCTAGATACAGCAAAGAAACAGCAAGAATGATTAAACAGTTTTATGTTAAATTGGTAATGGTTAGTAGTCAAAGAAAGATAGCGCTGTTGTCATGCTTTAAAGTTCTTCTCTTTTGTAAGCTGAAATCTTCTGGGATCTCACAAGTTGATGCAGAATACATTTTTGGGGGTTTATTTCTTAAAATACACGTGTTTCTTTACTATAAAATGTTGATCAATAGTTGAAGGCCGTGTGAGGAACTGGTTGAATGATTATTCAAAATAACAGTTTCTTGTAAACAAAGTCGTTAGATAGTTTTTTATTAATTATTAATGAGGCACACGTATCAACTAGTTTGGTCAATGTTAGTATGTCTTTCTATTTTATTTTATTGTGTAAAATTTATGTTAAGATTCATCTTTCAATACAACCAATGGTAACTTTTTTTTGGCAGGATACTTCTGCGATGTTTAGCTTTCATGTGGCGTTAACAAATTAAACATTAGTTATTAAAAATCAAGATAACAATGATTATTTAGGCAGTCAGCTATGATCTGTCAAAATAGCTTATTTGAATTTGAATCTAACCTTATTGAAAATTTGGGGAAAGTAGATTGATATTTATGTCCCAATGGTGAGAAAATGTTTTTTCAAGATTTGTAAAGTATTAAGGTATAGTAAAAACAGAAAAATTAATTTTTTTAGTAGGACAAAAGCCTAAAACCAAGTATTCAAAAATCCAACTCACAAAAGACTAATCTATGCCATATAACTGGTGATAATAAATAAAACATTCCCTCTTTATTGCTGGACAATCGTGGCATTTTTATAACATCAAATTTGTACTATTCATTTGGGTACAGAACTATAATAATTATAGTTCTATGATTTGGGGTAAAGCAATAAGTGAGAAATGAACCTGTCCTGATGATATAAGAATGAATGTAGCACAAAGTGTGGGCTAAACTAAAGGAACATTTTAAAATTTGATTCATGTTTACCGAAATATGATTTTATTTGGTTCTCTATGAAAATTGTAATTTGGAATATAATATTTTGTGTGTTTTAAAGATACCATGAGGTTGTTACTATGTGAATGAAAGATTTATATATCTGCTCTGTTAGAAATTAAAAACTCACTTAAAACTAGATAATTTCTTTGTTACATGTTTAAAAATTGGAGCAGAAATATACTTTTATTTTGTTGATGTATGGAAGTGATTTAAGATTGCCATAGTTTATTTTTCTTTTACTCTCGCATTGTGAACTACTAAAATCCTAATTAAATTGCTATCTGTTAAAGAATAAGAAAATATCTTGTAAACACTTCATCTTTATTTCGTCTGATCTGTAAATCGCTCATTTAAATATAATGATAATCTAATAACATTGTCACTTGTGCAAATAAATCATAAACCTTGTAGTTGATTTCTTATTGTAGGTCAGTATCAATTAGTGTGGTAGGATAAAAACTCATTTTAATTGACATACTAATTTTGTGCTCATGTCTTTAAAATCCTCACCTTACCATCAATTTATTAAACAGAACTGATGTGCAGTTTTTCCTCAAGACTTTCTAGTTTCCATTCTGCTTTTTGATTGTCTACTCAGTCCATGTGCCAATCATATCATTACTAACGACCTCAGAAATTAAGAGACATTATAATGACGTATATTACTGTAGCCCCTGTCGGTTGGTCCATCTTTCTTGTAGACCTGACCTGATATTGATGAGACCTCCGTCAAAATTGAACTAGATAATAATTTTAAGTAATATTTACAGCAGGATTCATGAGTAAACGAAACGAAAAAATGCTATACTTGTTAGTTATGATTGACGGATGGGGGAGTGGCCAGGTGTTATGTGATTGTACATGCAATAAAAGCTGTATATAAATTTTGGTATACAAGTTAGTGGGGTTTCTCGTGTCTGATTTTAAATCAGGTCTTTACAAACATTCACACCATATTTTGTGAAAATCCATCAACAAACAACCTTATTTCCCTTATTGCACATTGAATGGTGTTGACTGTCTTCATTAGCACATTTAAATTTAGGCTTATAACTCAATTTATTTCATTTCATTTTATGTCATAATTTATTTTACATAACACATTTTTTGTCTTAAAGGGACAGGAGCACCATTTTAGGGGGTTGATTTTTGAATCTTGAATATATGTAAATAATCTTCAGAGGTACTAGAAATGTATGAAAATCACATAATGCCAATATCTCAAACTAGGAATTTTACTCACTATTTCTATATATGTCTTTTCTATATATCAGAGATAATCTTAAATTGACAAGTCGTCATTTTAACATTTAATCGCCATTAACACATGGATTTGAAGGCTAACTATGACTGATTGGCTTAGCCAAAAATGGCTTACCAGTCCCTTTAAATTTTTGAACTGTAAATGCATTGACAAGTTTATTTAGAACAGATGCAGAGAAGACAGCAAAAAGGTTAGAGTCTTAAGACTTTTCTAGTTATAGCCAAAAGCTGCCAGTGGGCATACGTCACATTGCCTGGAAAGCAATCTTTTAACACTTGACAGCCCTTACCAAAAAAGACACTGTATGAAAATGATGTCCAATAGTTCTGTCACTATTTTGACCGATCTAGAATAATAATTAACAAATGTGTTCAAATGTAAGTTATTGATTCAATCATTCATACATATTACTTTCATACAAAAAAAAAGTTAACAAACAGAAACATTGTCATTTCTCTGGTAAAACTGCTGATTGAAGCTCATTCCACAAGGAAATGTCTCTAATATCTGCATCCACTTTCAAATTGTTTCACACATTCCAGTAACACTTGTCACTGTGGTTGTTCATTTTCATCTTGACCTCGGCCTGCTTGCTGTCCTTGACCCCAATTAAAACCTCCTGGTCTTTCTTCTGGTAATGGATTATAATTTGGATCTTCTGGAGCTGCATCAAATATATATTTTCTAGAAATAAAGAAAGTTTGTAAGTGTTTGGTGTTATACTTCTATAGAAGCAGTGGCCAAGGTCAGACATACTTATTTTTCATCATTTTTTTTGTCTCAGAAACAGGTTTAGCTAAGCCAATCAGTAATAGTGCTCACAGCTCACCGTCGAAATTTGAGGCTTCCATGTTTATCCAGAATTATCTGCGTTTGAAAGTTAAAATAATGAGTTGTCTTTTCTTGAGACATTGTCATATATAGAAAAGACATTTATAGAATAGAAATGGAAATTCCTAGTTTGAGATAGTTTTTAAGGAATTATATGATTTTTGTACATTTCTAGTACTTCTGATGACTATTTACATATATTCAAGACTAAAATCAACCCCCGAAAATGGTTCACCTGTCCCTTTAATTAGATACTGGCCAGGCTTTCGTTTGACATAAAAGAAAGATTTCTGGAAAACCAAAAATATGAAATTTAAAAATTTCAAGTTTGAGCAAATAGCTAAAAAACAAAAAATAACAAAACAAAAATCTTCCTTTGACACTTGTTTCGCAAGAGTGCCCCAATGGACATTTTCCAAAACTTGAAAACTTTTTGAAACTTTGATTGGAACTACAACAGCAAAATATTATCTAATCTTTTACTGTTTGTGCTAGATGACATACCATTTATTACAAGTCGAAACCAAGAGTAAAATACTTACAAAAATTGTGGAGTCTTTAAAATTTTAAAACCATTTGGTTGTTGTGGAAAAACATCTTCTAAGAAATAATATATATGACCTATTGCTATACCTGTAAGAAAAGATTTAAACACATTTAAACAATCTTATTAAGTGAAGTTGTTCTGTTTTCTGATTCTCTGTGATTTTCCCTTTTGACTGGAATTTGGATCCCAATAGGCAAATAGTTTTTTGCTTACACATAAAAAATATTTTTTAAGATGACCTTATTAAGTCGAAGAAGTGATTCAAAATGGTTGTGAACTATGTTCATGTGTGTTATTTCAACGAAAGAACCATACTTATACTTAGTTTCGTATGTGCAGTTTGTTTTAAATATCAGGTAGTTTAGATCTATCGCAAACATTCATGCGAACAATTAAACAAATGCAAATTAGCTTATTTCCATCAGCATTGACCTTTTTCTATTGCACAAGTCATTCTTTGTAGTATATAATACGTTGATTAATTTACCTACCCATTAAATCTATGATAACTGAATTTCCTAATAACAAAGAGAACCCCAATAACACCCAAGGTAAATAGGGCGCTTGAAAGTTCATTAAACCAAAAAAATTCATTCTTATATAAGGATTTCTTCGACTCCATACATACACCAACATTATCGTAAAAACACTACCTAAAAATACTAAATTAATGACTAGACCAACAAGCTAAATAATTGGTTAAGGAAAACATCTAACTTTGCCTTTTAAATGGATTCAAATATGGTCATAAACGTTATCTTCAATGTTAGTTTGATGCATTCATTTCAACTTATCATAAGATAGATTAAAGTGATACTACGTCTTAGACTGAACATAAAATTTAGGAATTTTAAACTTGGTCAATAAGAGCATATATTCATCAGTAGATATACCTGGTGTCATAAATAACATAACAGAATCCTAATATAATCCGATAAATCAAAAAAACTTAGTAATTATCCATAAATATGCAATTAAAACTATTGAAAAACGCTTAATATCAAGATTAAGTGTTTTTCAATAATTACTCAGTTTTCCAATTTTCCAGATTTTACAGGGATTCTGTTGTAACTATATGATACCAGGTAAACTAACTGATGAATATATACTCATATTGACCATTTTGAGAACTTAAATTTTATGTTCATTCTAAGACGTAGTATCACTTTAAGAAATTAGATGTTCATTCTCAAAGGAAAACTACCTCACAGATGGGACATCAAAATAAAACACTTGACCATACATGTGTCATACTTATAGAACAGAATCCCTTTATAATCCGATAAATCCATAAAAATAAGTAATCACAAAAAAACTCTCTAATAATATTAAGAATTTTTCAATATTTTCCTGTCATTTTATTGATAACTTAGTTTTATGGATTTGTTGAAATTACAGATGTAGCTATGACCCAGGTAAGTCCACTGATGTATTATAGACAATTTTTGGCCAAGTTGAACATTTTTTATTTTTTGGTAATCTTAAGAAGTTTCTCTCAAATTCAAGTTCAAAATTAATAGCTAATCACTATTAAGCATCTCACTGTCAAAATATTACAGCCACAGCCTTGGTAAGAAATTCAGAAAAGTGAAATGAAATTCTTTTTGTTAATGGGTGCACACAAATATAAAATTAAAAGGCATTTTTAGAGCTTAAATTCATCAAGGATACAATCATAAATACTCCACCAAATAAAAACATAAACACAAAATCAGCAGTTCGACCACGGAATGAACCTTCTTCTAACATACGACAATAACGATATGCAAATATAATGTTGAATAAAAAGTTAAAACCAATTGGTCCAAAATACAGAAAGTTTGTAACAAGTCTCCATATCTGAAATATAAATATAAAAAACTATAATGTTTCAGAAGATATTTCCAGTGTTAAAATAGTGCTTAAAACATAAATTGTAGAGCGATATAGAAATATCAAAACAGAACCTGAAACATGTTGTTACTCGGAGTTTCATGCTGTACGATCTTCAGACAACTCAGACTGAAATAGATCAATTGTCAAACCATCGCACAGCGTGAAACTTTGAGTAACAACTTGCTCCAGGTTTTGTTTTTCTATTTCTTTATCGCTCTATAATTGTGATGTTAAGTGATGCAGGATGAAATAGGTCAGTTGTCTGAAGATCACACAGCGTGCAACTCTGAGTAACAACATGTTTCAAGTTCTGTTTTAATATTTCTATATCGCTCTACAATTGATAAATTGAATAAAGTGACGAAGCCTGAAATAGGTCAGTTGTCTGAAGACAGCAATGCGTGAAACTCCGAGTAACAACATGAATAAGGTTCTGCATTTAATATTTCTATAAATTGATACATTGAGTATAGTGATGCAGGCTGAAATAGGTTAGTTGTCTGAAGATCGCACAGCAAGATAATCTGAGTAACAACATGTTTCAAGTTCTGTTAAAATATATTTAATATTTGTAAGTTGGATTTAATTCAAAATAAACTACTGTCATATTGATAAATAAAATTATGCAAACTAACCTATGTTCAAACTATTATACACTGTCGCAGGTGCAATTTAATCATTATATAAATCATGACATGGTAAAGTAATACCACCCAATACAAGTAAGATCTACTCAAAGATTTAAGCCTAAACACATTATAATTCATTTTAAATTTAAAATTTCATTATTAAAAACATTGTAAATTATACATACAAATATTTCTAAAATATGCTATTCCTTTTTTCATATTCACTTGATTTGTTCAATTTGTTCACAAGAGGTGATAAAAAAAAACCAGCCAAGTAAGTAGTTCAAACTAAACAGTTTGATATTTGAAGAAACTTTCAGAATAATTAGGTGACATATTTCTCTTAATTGGCAAACTAGGTTGTCCCTATGATTAACAGATATGGTTACGTTTATATATTATAAATATCAATGAAAGTCTGATTCCCAGTCTGTCTAAGATTTAAAATAATACTACGTTTTAAAATGAACATAAATTTTAAGAATTTTAAACTTGGTCAATCAGAATATATATTCATCAGTAGATATACCTGGTGTTATAAATAACATAACAGGATCCTTATATAATCTGATAAATCCAAAAAACTTAGTAATTATCCATAAATACGCAATTAACTATAGCAAAATAAAAATTTTCAATAATGACTTAGTTTTACGAATTTTCCAGATTTTACAGGGATTCTGTTGTAACTTTATGACACCAGGTAAGTTCACTGATGAATATATACTCATATTGACCATTCTTTAGAACTTAAATTTTATGTTCATTATAAGACGTAGTATCACTTGAAAAGTCATTTTATTTTGAAGTATTTCTTCAATGTGAGACAAAGTATGCATACATTTAAAAAAAAAAATTCAATGTCCGTTTACCTGATATTGTCTAAATATCAAATCTGGATTAAAGTAGATTTGAAATGGAGTTATAACATCAAGTTGCTGAAAAAAAATTTGTAAAAATATATAAGTATCATCCTAGCTCTGACCAAGGGCCATCCTAAATTTAGACTTTTAACATCGGTTTTAGTTTAAAATTAGGTTCTTGTGGACAGGAAAGCTTTTGGTGAAGAATTTGAGATTTTATAAAAAGTAATATCAGTCGACCAGCAAAATCTCAAATGCTTCACCAAAGGCAATTTTGTCTACAGATTGAGATAGGCTACCTGTGATAAAAAGTGGTCTGAGTTGTCTTCGAAAGTCGGTCTGAGTTGTCTTCAAAAGTGTTATAAAAGTGGTCCATGTTGTAACCAAAAAGAGGTCCGAGTGATCATCAAAGAGTAGTCTTTGATATTGTTGTCTTTTGAATACTATTTAGGCATATTGAGTTGTCGTGGTTCCTACAGTCTACAGAACAGATAGATTACTGATTGAATTCTGCCTCAGACAGCAGAGACTGAGAGTGAGAAGAGCAAAACAGCAGTTGTATTTCATCATAGTCCCTTTGAATTTCTCTGATCCTATAGACCTAATAAATATGACAGCTGTAGCTTTGAATATACTCACAACTGCTACAGTTGTTAATACACATGCTGTTGTATAAGCCCGTGTAATTGGGGGCATTTGCAAGTACTCTTGTTGAAACGTTTGAGCTGCCATTTCGGTTGTTTACCATTTTCTATAGCCACGTGTAGCACGCATGCGTCGAATATGCCGATAATAACCGATAAGAAATTAAGACTTTAAACTTCGAATAAAGGAATAGCTTAATCCAAACATTCAGAAAACAGTGAGGATATTCGTTATTCATTATAACCATAATTTTTTTCCGTGAACGTTTGCGATGTAGTTACTTTTAATGAGCTTAACTCTTAATAGCTAGCTTGAAACTATTGAAAGTAAAAAGATTGTCGGTTTGTTTCCTAAATCCGCGCACTGTTCTTGCGCACAGCGGAAGATAAACTAAAAATTCGTAAATACTGAAAGAAGAGAGAAAATAATTCAATTGTTGAATAAAATGTCAAGTTACACTTCATCGCCGCGTCATTATAATGACGACGATTTTCTTAATGAAGATTTAGATGAGAGTACCGATTTTGAAGATGATCATGATCTGGATGGAAACATGTCGGACGAAGGTAACTTCATACCATCTCAGTCATCACATCGGCATCGATATCCGTATCCTGACGATCGGGATCACCATCATCGGACTGACTGGCTTATACACTATTTTTCCTTCTTTTCAATTTCCATGGTAGATCACTGCATGCCCGCTGACTATTAATACCTTTATACTATTGCTTAGTCCGAAACATCTGCCTCTATTCCAGCCTTTGATGGATATTTTGGCAGTTACATCAGCTGGAGTAGAGTCAGAAGAAACAGACCCTGGCCCGGGGGATTTTACACACCTCAAAAAAATGCGTTTTCTCTAACATAATATTGAATGATTGTAGATGAGTTAACTCAGTTTATTGACGAGTTAACTGTCTACGAATTGACATGGAGGCAAGTTGACTAATCACCCATTTAATTATCTTGATGATTGTAAATTAGTGTTGGTCATCACGGTAATTTTCGTTTTGTTAGTATCAATTTGACTCTGTGACCTTTGAACCTTGGCTTTAAAACAGCCAATGTTAGATCAGTTTCGCAAAAAAAAACTTCGATGGAACCTGAGAAATGGCATAAATGGTTTTGCAGATGCGAGGTATCTGAATAGGTTTAAACCCTGTGCACCTGCAGAGATGCAGAATGGACCCATTTATCAGGGCCTATTTTTTCTGTCTCTTCACCATCTGACATCTGTCCAAATAGATATTGGAGGCTGGAATAGTGGCAGGTGTTTCAGTCTAACTATTACTATGCCTACTCTCTGATCACAAATCAATGCTCAGAGAATCACATTTTGACATAGAAATACCAAATCAGAAATACTTCTACACTACTGAGTTTATAATTCTGATGCCGTCACAAGCCCCAATATAGTTTAGAGTTGATATTTCAATCCATGCAAATTATATTTCAAAAGATGGACATAATATGGAAAATGACCACTTTGTAATGATTTTGTTTTTAAAGATGAGTTACTATTAAGTATTAATTGTGAATCCTGTATAATTTTATAAATTAGATACTGAAGATGCAAGTGAGACAGAAGAGAAGCAAGAACCTACATTTCAAAGAACAGAAATTAAAGAACAGTAAGTAACTAACTAAATAACTTGTATGCAAATACTATAAGAATACTCACATTGATGATATATCAGTGTCCCCTCCCCCATGCACCTATAAAGTTTTGAAAACCTCTTTACATTCTCAGTAGTGAACACAGCTACTATCCCTAATGCCAGTGCCAGTGCCTTGTGTTGATGAATAGTAATAGTAGTTTTGTATGTTTATGCATGAACAGTCAAATAAAAAATCACAGATTGAAAGGAATAGTTGTGCTACTTTGTGGGTTGATTTTAGTATGGAATAGTCTTCAGAAGTACTAGAAATGTACAAAAATCGCATAATTCCTTTACTTCATACTACTCGCTTTCTCTATATATCACAGAGTATCTTAAAATGACAAGTGGTCATTTTAAAATTCAAATGCGGATAATTCTTGTTTAATTTGTAAAAAAAAATGGCCTACTTGTCCATTTAAGAGAAATTGATCTATATTTCTGGCCAGTGATTTTTTTTTTTATGGGAATAAATCAAGTTAAAATTTGGTTTAAATAAAATCTCCTTCACATGGGAGCATGTGACCCCATTCACCCTCAACTGATCATTTCCATTTTTTTTCCTCTATATTTTTAACTAAGATCTCTGAAATTATTATCTATTATTCCAGGATGTATCAAGACAAATTAGCACATTTAAAGAAGCAGTTACAAATGTTATCTGAAGGTACATTACCAGAATATATCAAACGTAATAAGAAAATAGAACAACATTACAAAGAGAGATTAGCTCTGAGTGAAATATGGAAAGATCTTCAAGTGAGTATAATCAACTGATATAATTTCTAGAAAAAGATACGAAAACAGATACAATTGGGTTAAACTAAGTTATAACTTTTCAGTTGACAGCTGATGGAGCTTAGTTTTTTTTATATTTCTTTCGAACCAGGTAGGTCTCAATTTTTGCAACACATTACAATAGAAAACATGGTTTCATTAGTCAAATTTATATGTTCTGAAGTTCTGTGTTAAACTTTTTGCATTTTTTTAAGTTATTTGCTTATTTTGGTTAAGAGAATGTTATTTTCTGTAATTATTTAGGTTTCTAATGCACAATGAATTTGCAGATTATTCAAGAATATATGATAATATGATTTAATATAGCCTGCCGATCTGAGATTAACTTACAACTGATCAACATCTTTGTTAGAAAACATGGTTTTCTGTGGGTTTATTTAATCAGCTAATCATGCTAGTTCATTTTTCTGATTTTGTAGTTGAAAATGGTAGAAAGAGAATTTATAAAAGAGAAGGAATATATTCAGAAAGATTTCGAGGTTTGTTTATTGCAGTTTGTTTTCAAAATTTAAAAAAAATATGATTTGTGTCAGGTACTCTGCAGAAACTGTAATAGTTGCTGCAACATTTGTAGTGCATTTGACCTAGCTCTGTAGTGAATAACTGAATGAATATAATTTGGAAAATTGGCACAGTGCAAAATGTGCAAAAGGTAGAAAATTGGAGCATTTTTGTTCGGGTTTTCATTTTTGGGATCTCACAAGATTTTCCAATATGATTGCAGTTTAGAATTTTGAAAATTCACACATTTTTTAGCATAATTTTGAAAATTTTGACCAAATTTTTTACAGGGTTAAAGGTCATTGACCTTGGCTATCATGGGATACTTTTATATTTGACCTCCGACGTTTCAAATTTGGGGCTTTTCAAGTAGATCGTCTGCTTGGACAGTCCAGGTGTTTGGTTTACCACACTCTGACGTCTCTACAGTAGGCAAAAAACATCCCGGAGAAGCATGTAACCGATCATAAATCGGTAGCACATATCATGCTCCATTATGACAGATTATATTAATGTCGAGTACATGAATATGTCCGCCTGTCAACATTTCTTATGAGCACTATAGAGACTTTTATTCAATTTTGATAATACTTGGTGTGATGCTTTAGATTGATAAGATCTCGGTCAATTTGATGAAAGGTTTTTGAGATATTGCCCTTGACTTTGTAAAAACGCGTCAAAATTTGTTCGTGAGCACAATAGAAGTTACAGTTTTCAACCAATTCTGATGAATTTTGGTGTGATCATTGGAATTGATAGATCTCGAACAAGTTCTAAGTTGACGCATTTTCAATGAAAGCTTTTTGAGTTATTGCCCTTGACTTTGTGAATGTGTTGTGAGGACTGTAGAAGCTGCAGTTTCCAAACGATTTTGATGAAGTATTTTGACTTTTTTTCATACATTTCTGTTCTGTTCCCAAACTATATTTGCTCTAATTTTGAATCTATTTTGAGCGTAATTTTCGATTTGTTCATTACTTTAAACTGATTGATTAAAATAGCAATTTAAAGAATTTCAGATTGTGACTTTTTTAGCTGACTTTTTTCAGTTTTGATTTATGCGGTTTTTGTTCTCTACAATTTTATTTTAATCGATCTGAGAATTAACAAGGTGGCAGGCATTTTGATTGCTAACTTTGCGTAATTTGGTTGGCCTCGGTACCATCAATGGTAGTAGTTGATATTTTTGCTTTGGAATCATGTTATTTGTTGCTGAAACAAATAAATTTATAACACCTCTACTGTGTTGAAATAATAAGTTCAACATGTCTCTAACTGAATGTAAAGTGATCTATGGTCTATATATATACAAGTGATATGTTTATTGTAGGAAAAGAAAATTGATTTAAAGGAGAGTTTAATAATGGAATTAGAAGATAAGAAAAGAAGTGTAGAAGGAGAGAAATCTGTATTAGATTTAAATGGAGGTAAGATTAGACAATAATAAAACAACACCTAATAGAGTTTCATGCTGTTTCTCTACTAAAGTTTGACAAAATTAACGCCTACTTCTACATATGATGATTTAGGCCGTTTGTTCATAGAAATTGCAAATTGAAGCTATCAATGTCCCCGATACACAAAACCTCTTTACAATCCCTTTTAAGATACAGATAGTTCCATCAATATATATTATTGATGGAACTATCTGTATCTTAAAAGGGATTGTAAATAGGTTTTCTAAATTTTTTATGTGTATCAGGGACATTGATAGCTTCAATTTGCACCATTCCAAGTTTCATTCTGACATCTGTGGTTCTTGCAATTCCATTTAATACCTGATACACACAAAAAGTTTAGAAAACCTCTTTACAATCCCTTTAAACATTTAAGACCCCATGATATTGAGTGTTGATCTCATATTAAGACACATCTACCTTACTTTAGTCCCGAATGTAAACATTTTGCAGTCTGATTAAAAGTAGACCAAATTTTTTTTCATTGTTATTGGGATGAATGTTCAAGAAGGGCGTCGTTGGACCCTAACTGCAGTGGCTGCATTAAAATAAAAGCTAATAATCCGCAATGAAAGTTTGGTCTAATTTAATTACACTGAACATTTTTAATCTGTTAAAAAAAATTTCAGATTTTATGGATATGACAAGGCCAGTTATGACAAGAAAATTAAGAAGAAGACCAAATGAGCCTATTCCAGTCCCAGAAAAACGTCGAAAACCCACTGCAAATATCCTTTATAATATGTTTGTCTACTTAAAGGGGCATTCTGCTATTTATGTAAAACATTTTTTATTATCAAAAACGTCGTAAATTACACCTGAGAAGTTTGCATTTATATCTATGCGCCTTATTTATCAAACTGAATTTGTTTTAAAAGGGTTAATTGAGAGTACTAATTGTTAATTAAGCAGTTTGACCAAGTTTTAGTGTTTGGCTTTATAATGGCTTGATATTATTAGTTTAAACTTTTAGAATACATTGGAGACATATATCTCTACAATTGGTCGTTTATTGCAGAGCGTTTGTAAAGGAATGGTTTTTTTGCTTTCATAACTGTTATTTTTAGTCCACCAGGGAGCTTCTTTCTTGGCAACGGCACTGGGTATGATAAAATAAATTTCATGACGATTTCTTACTTGTGACTAACTATCTACCGAATGTAAAACGAAATTGTAATATGTGCAAAAAGTAGATAAATGGCTCTGGATGGCACATTTTGGAGTGAATTTGTTTGGATTTTCAATTTTGGAATCTGTTAAGAATAATGTCCAATATGATAAAAAATGTCCAATTTTGAAAATGTTGATATTTACAGTAATATTTAATATTGACTACAGCTTTTAGATAATGTTAATATTTTTTATTTCCGACAAGTGGTTCTGGTTTTATGGGTGTCACTAAAAGTTGAGTTTTCATCTTTAAAGCCTTCTAACAAGTGCCGTAATAACGATAAAGCAATAAATCTTTCAGATTCATAATGCTGAGATCCTGAGCTTGCCCACGGCTTAATTGACCCACTTTTGTATTTCTTATCCAGATTTCTTGGTATATACTTAAGTATTGGATTTGTGATTTTGAAGAAAAAAAAAGAATTTGTGCAGTCTGATTGTGTATAAATATCGCTATGAGATATAATATATTTTCTTTAACACGGTAATACCACAATTAAATATCTTACTAGATGAAGATGAAATAATGAGAGATATACAATATTTAAATAAGATTACAGGTAAACCTGTTAAAAAGACCATGTTATCAACCTCTAGTATTGATGGTAATGTTAATAATGAAATGAGAATAGAAGATGGTAAATTATATTATGACAAACGATGGTAAGATATTTTTGTTTTTTTAAAAAGTAAAAAAAAAATAATTCAGGGTTGCCTCTCGTTAAAGGGACAGGTGCACCTTTCTTTTTGAACAATCATACTTTAGCCTCAGAAACAGGAATTTTTTAGCAAAGCCAATCAGTAATAGTGTTCATAGTTCACTGTCGAAATTTGAGCCTTCAAATCCTTGTGTGTCAAGAATTATCCGTGTTTGAATGTTAAAATGACGACTTATCATTTTAAGATACTCTGTGATATATTGAAAAGACATATATAGAAATAGTGAGTAAAATTCCTAGTTTGAAGTATTTTTAAACGAATTATGTGATTTCCGTACATTTCTAGTACTTCTAAAGACTATTTAAATATATTCAAGACTAAAATCGGCCCTCAAAAATGGCGCAAGTGTCCCTTTAAATTAGCTTAAATTAAATAATAGATTTATTAAATATCAACTCCCTTGAAATAATCTTTTTATTTCTGCACCTCTCTTGTTTTTAGATATTCTTTGACTTATTATTTTGATAATATTGCTTTTAGAGAGGTGCAGTGGGTAGAATGTGCTTACTCTTTCTGTGATTTCTTTTATGTCTTCCTCAGTGATGTTGCTGTAATACTGACTGTGACTTATTGATTATGATGTGGATTTGTAAACACATGGCAGTTTGGTCCTTTAATATGCTAATGACAAAGTTCGGGTAGGCCCTTGCAAAAACCGGACTTTTAAGCTGGTTTGCCAGTCATGTCAGGAAAATACAGCCAAATCAACAGCCCTGGGGTAGGTCGGAGTGGCATTGTTATTGATTTGATATATTTCTACTATTTAAAGTGATATTCTTTCCATATCAATTCTCTAGTATTTGTTAATGTTTTTGTGTTGTTTGTAGGTTTCAGAGGAATCATCCAGTATTTGTGGAATCTAAAGAGGGTGGTAAAACTCATGGTATTATTACTGGTATAGGTACACAAGAGGTAAGGACTTCTAATCAAATTTGGGGTGAAACAATGAAATTCATTATTTAGGAGCACAGGGATTTACATAGGGGTAGGATTGCATATTAAACTAAGCACACTACATTTCCTTTTGTCGGTGTGGAAAAGAGATTGGTGCTGTTTAGATCATACAAATCAGATCGAGTGAGAATAAGTTCCTGTAAACAAAACTCTTTGATTATCTGTCAGCTGTAATTCTTTACTGAAAATTCATATTATTTATCATCGACCAAAACGGTCATACTCTGCTTTCGTTCACAAACAAAGCATCTATGAAGAATGATTTGATTAGCTGAGATTTCCTAGAAAGGCCAATTTTGATTGGACAATGTTAAGCTATGAATACGTAATTTCTCTCATTTGTATTACCACAGCCACAAGGAAGTATGACGAATATGGGGGCGTGGTTTAGACACAAGATATATTCATGTGAATGATTCTAAATTATGGACTGAAATTTCTTTTTATTTATTACAGATATGGATACGTAAAACATCGGATAATTCCAAATTACGAATATATTTATCACAGTTACAAAAAGCTAAATATATTTTAAGGAGAAGAGCATCATAGTGTTAAATAGATTAAAGTGACATTATTTTCATAATGGTCTGGATAGAAAGGTTCCAACTGTAGCCCATGGCAAACAAATTTGAAAATCAGACTGATTTTGTCAGTTTGACATGTTCTTCATTAACCAACTAGGATTACTTCAGCTATTATAATGTGTTGCAATATCTTAGATACTAAGAAACCGCTATGGTGGTTAAAAACTTCATGAATTGAAGGGAGAAGATGATCCTCATTGACATCAACGTGTTTTGTCTAATATTTATTGTCGGACTGTAGATGGTGAAGCTGGTGATTTGTAAATATTCTCTCCACAGCACCTATTAGATCATCATCTCCAAACCTTGTCAAATCCAAATTGATTAAATAGATCAGAGGTTTCAAATGAAATGTTCAAATATTTGGCAGTTTCTCCATGTTAGTGTTTTTCTCAAAAAGAGATTTTGTGTCATACAATGTATTAAGAGGTTTCAAGCAGTCACCCACAAATTAATGTTTTCAAATTTCCTTAAGTTTCTATGGAAATCCCATAATTGGAGTTTTCATTGAATTGAATTATGTGGCAGCAGAATTAGTATATATTTAAAGTGACAGGTACGCCATTCTTTTTGACCAATCATATTTTAGTCTCAAAAACAGGAATTTTTTAGCTGAGCTAATCAGTATAGTATTCATGACTCACCCTCCAAATTTGAGTCTTTAAATCCATGTGTGTCCTGAATTGTCCGCTTTTGAATGTTAAAATGACGACTCGTCAATTTAAGAAACACTTATGCAATTTTTGTTCAATAATAGTACTTTTGCACTCTATTTACAATTTATATATTTCCAAAACTCAAATCAGCCCCCCAAAATGGAACATCTGTCCCTTTTAGTTCAATATTGAGGTGATGTGTCCCTTTTATTTACCCCACCAACTCTGTTCTATGTAATTCTATGTAATTTTATTAAAAATATCTCATCATACTAATTTCATTTTTGTAATACCAAGAGGATTGTTATCACAAGTACTAGCCCTATTATGTCTCAAAGCCTTAAAGTAAAGGGACATGTTGCCATTTTTTTGATCAATCGTATATTTTTTAGGCTGAGCTAATCAGTAATAGTTTTCACAGCTCACTGTTGAAATTTGAACCCTCAAATCTATGTTATCTGTGTTTGAAAGATGACTTGTCTTTTCTTGAGACTTGCAATATGTAGAAAAGACATAAACAAAAATAGAAAGTGAAATTCCTAGTTCGAGATATTTTCGAAGGAATTGTGCAATTGTACTTCTGAAGACTATTTACATATATCCAAAACTCAAATTAACCAGATGAATCTCTCCTTTTAACACTAAACCTCAGAAATTAATATGTGGCACAATATTCTGGAAAAACTGGCTAGACAAATTGTGTGTATGGCAAAGATGGCAGTGGCGGCACCAGCCTTCCGTGACTGGGGGTACAAATAGGGTGCAGACTGACTCAATGGGGGGACAACTGTTGAGGCTGAATCCAAACTTTTGGCTATTCTGTGGTAGTGTCATAGTCACAAGCCTCTCATAGAGCGTCTTAGAGGGTTCTCTTAAGAAAATTTTAGAAAAATGAATTTATTTTGTGCATTCTGATACATATTTTGGATAAAAAACTTAGACATTTAGATTTGTTGATGATAAAGTGGGGGTGCAAACCACTTTTCTCTACCCCCACTGACGCCACCACTGGGTATGCCTATCAGAGTTATCCAATGTTCAATAAAAATCTGTTCCAAACTTAAGCATCTGCCATATTCACATGTAAGTTTGGGCCAGACCAGCAAGATCAATAACTTCTCATTCATACAGAGAAATATTCAACAGTTCATAGATCTTGCCGAATTCATGTACAACTAGGTTTACCCCAAATTGGATCAAAACAGTAACCAATGTCAATTTTTACTATTTTGGCATTGTATCCCCTATACAGGTTTTGACATGAGGAATTATGATGAATTGGGGTGTGGTTTCAACACAATGCTATTTTAGATACATCAAGGACAATTACTCTAAGTCTATTCTCCTAAAAATCATCAAAATCAAAATCCTGTGGTATCAGGAGCCATGGCTCACAAGTTAGAACTCAATCAAATCACAACTATCTTGCATTTGGCTTTCTGTTTGTGTTATTTTTCCATAGAATGGAAGGTAGTTTCCAATCCTTTATAAATTCGAAATTAATATAGTGGTGTTAGGGTGTATTGAGACGAGTCTCAATGAAAGCACTGGCCTAGGTCACAGAGCAATAGATAAGTCTATTGATTATGTGAAAATTAGTCATTAGTATGATTTTAGTTGAAAAGACACAAACACAAAAATACACTGCATGTTATATAATATACTGTATATAGCCATGGCACCAGTCCTGAAATAAGTATTCCCTGAAATCTAACCCAGAAATAGATTAATTTATTGATAGAACATGATACATTTATATTAACAAATCTATGCTCCTAGGATGAATGGACATTGTTCAATGGTTCAAGTCTACCGTGAAAGAGGAAATTGCTAAGATTTTGATTTCTTTTGTAAGCTACAACCAAACGTTTTGTGTATACATGGGAAATTCTGAAGTTCCGAGTAATGGCGTTTGACTATTATGGAGGCTTTGGTAGCTGTAGAATCAAATGTCGTTATAAAGGGTATTATCTGGTTATCATGTTGAATGTTGAGTCCATTTGGCCTCACAGTCTGCAGTTGATCGATCCAATAACTTTCGCGTTGTAGACGTCTAAGCTTAGGTTTCATGCTAGGTGATGTAGAAACTGTTTCTATAGGCATAATGAGAAGGTCATCAATGGAATGATCGGGATAGTGATGGCCATTGAATCGCGTTCGAAGCGCATTTTGAGTCTCGCCAACATATTGTACATCGCATTTTTTACAAGAAATTAGGTATATGATATTTTGATCTCCGCAAGAAATTAGGTTATTCATCGCAAACAATTTTCCGTTTTTCGTTATTTTTGAAAAAATGGGTAACATGTATGTGTTCGCATGTGCGACAAGTAGGACCTCCACAGGGAAATGAACCGAATCCAATAAAAGGTGGAGGGGGGGGGGGGGGGGTCTTCTTTTCTCATTCTTAATTTTTCGAAGAAACCTTTTAGAATAACCCCTAATTTGTCAAAAACTAGTTTACAGGCGGATTCAAAATCAGCCTGCTATTTGGCTTTATCATTCTGCCTTAATGAGGCAGTGGCGGGGGCAGGTTTACGTCCCAGGGGAGGCGAGATATATGAGATTGTCCGAATCTCAAACCTAGTCATGAGATTTTTGCGCGAAAAACTTGCTTTTTGGCTCCGCCACTGTACTGAGAGTTGTTGGCATATATACCTTAGCTGACACAAAATTGTAGAGCAATATTAAGCAGTTATAATTGAAAGCAAAATTTGGGCCTGTAACGTAGCTTTGATTAATGCAAAATTATATCAGCTTTCAAGTTGATTCAGTACTGAAAACTAAAATCAATATTTCTATCTGAGTTCCAGCAAATTGCCTCGAATTTTATTCTGCATCACGATACATCACGGGACTACTTTCATAAGCGTAGTGATACACTACGGATGATACATTGTTGTAAATTGTGTCGGTTTGATCAAAACATTATATTTTCCCGTGTTATAAATTGTGCACCGCTTATTTAATACTATTGGGTGGTTTTGTGAACAATCCTTTTTCTTACAAACTTCTGCTCGACAACTGAGCAGCTTTTAATTAATTTATTGCTGAGGAAAAGGATTTTTGGTAACAATAACACTGAGCTGACTGGGGTTATTTATTTATTGGTCGGCTGCTCTGATCTCATTTGTGTAGAAGCGTTGGTAAACAAAATGAATTTGATCTTCTGAACTAGAAATGGTATGATAATTTTTTTGAATATATTTTTCAATTATTTGCAATTTATATATTGCAACTACCTGTATTCACTAACTTTGGTTAAATTTGTGGAATCGTCGCCATTTTCCTGAGCCGCATCACTCAGTTCTGTTATCTATATTTTCTTTGCCCAAGCTCTTGTTAGTTATATTTTGTGTTGTTGACAAATATCTGTTGTATCTCCTTGCACTTTGTCTCAGAGATCTGTGAACTGACCAAATCTTTGATCATGAAAATGAAAGATGTAATTTTACACAGTTTAATTAATGCTCCATGCTTTTGTTTTTAAATTGTATTGGCAGCATCATATGATAAACCTTTAATATTCAAGAGTGATGATATCACAGTTGGAATGGTCCTACTAAAAAGCAAAAACGAGAGCAAAGAAGCTCAAACAAGTGCAAAAAATATTCTTATATGCAAGTTGCAAAATAAGATCCAATTGTGATATATATATATATATATATATGAATAACTCAATTGGACTGGAACGTGAGCGACTCATCACTTTCATCAAAATTTCAATTGGATTTGGTTGGATCACGTCAATGCTTTTTAACAACAACTATTAGATCATAAACCAGAATTAGTTATTAATTTTAAAAATTTAGTAATATGTTTTGAATGGTATCTTTCAAGCGGAGTTGATAATCAAAATTTGTTAGATATTTTCAGAATGTTAGAATCAGTAGTTTAAGAGAATGTTAAATTTGATGATTAAATTGTCTAGGTATAAATGTGTGAAACTAAAGTCTTAAATGTGTTTGAATGGTACAATGAGAAGTAGTTTTAACATGATCTGTGTAGTAAATATTTTAAAAGGATATAACTTTAAAGATTAGGAAGTGACAGGTCATTAGAGAAGGTGTTAAAGATTATTAAAAGCTTAAACTAATCATGAAATTAATTTACAGATTTGATTCAACCTGGAGGCAATTTCTCATTAACCTAATGAATTGTTAGAGACACCACAAGTGATAAAGATCATATTTATTTTATGATTAGTTTAGCATAGATAGCGAATATGTCAATAAACTGAAAAATCTGTCTCTATAAACCTTTGATAGACATTGATTAAATATCTATTTAATTATGGTAACAGCTTTTTCAAAACGAAGACTGCAAAATTTACCATCTATCCCTAGCTATTTCTAACTATAGAAAATTGACCTCCATCAAGTAATGTTTTTACGCATGTATGCATCAGATCATCTGACCTCCATGACAAACTACAAAATCTTAAGAAATGATAATGTTTACAAATATATTTACCAATGTATTTATCTTTTTAAAGTTTAAAATCTAGGTAACTTATAATATAATGGGATCTTATATTTTGGTGAAACTTGATATGCTAGTTTATATACACTTGACTTTAAATATACATTTAAATTTTAAATGGTTGATAGAAGTAAGTCTGACATAAGCCTATTGAGTCCTTTTTTTTTACAAGCTGGTAGGACTAGGAATCAGTGGCCATGCCAGGGGTAGGCCTACAAATAGAGGGCAGACTGACTCAGTGGGGAACTACTGTTGAAGCTGAATTCAAAATGCGGCAACTCTCCAAGAAAATTTTCGAAAAAATATATTTTAGGGGAAAAAATGTATAAAAATCTGAATTTTTTCAAAATAAAGTTGGATATATTTTGGGTTGCAAACTCTGAGGCTCTGGGAGATGAATTTGATAATGATTTTAGTATTCTTGTGCACAACTGATTGGTTAATCACTAAAATAAATTTAAAATGCAGCTTCATTAACCAATCAAATTGCTGAATTTCATACAATCTGAATTTTTTTTATCTTGGTTAACATTTTTAGAAAACAGACCCCAGACAACCAGCCATAAAAATTTTTAGTGAAGCTTAGAAGCTTGGAGTCAGAAGTATTCATCCTTGCCTTACAGTCAACAATTTTAACATTTTCGGTACTTTTAAGTAAAGTTTTATTTTGAAAATGGGCGAAAAATTTCCCAATCATAGAAGAAGGTAGACATGCCTTGTTGCATTGAAAAAGTTTGAAGGGACAGATGCACCATTTTGTGGGTTGATTTGAGTCTTGAATCAAATCAATTGTCAAAAATTGTAGCTTTTTACAATGTTCAATGTGGACAATCGAATGGAAAGTATGACAACAATATTTCCCCAATCTTGACTCACATTAGGTATGGTAGGCTTTGTTAGGTTTTTTTAAATGTTGACCTAGTTATTGTCAGGATTCAATGGCTGAGAAGTGGTTGAAAAATTGTCATCTTGAATATATAGTGAAATCAGTGAAGCGTAGTCAATGTCAATATGTCAGAGATGGTCTGTGACCACATGTTTATAAATGTCTTTGTTTAGATACTGAATTGTGTTAGTTGGTTATGAAAGGATTATTTTCCTGTAGTGAACTGTACCTTGTGTATGATATTGAACTGAACTAAACTAGGTTAGATATTGAATATTTATGATTATTCCATATTCGTAGATCTTTTTTTAGGTATGTTACTTTAGCTAAGTCTTTTTTAGTTATAAATAGTGCTGAAACAATGATTGGTTTTTCCAAGGAGCTCACTTATAGAAATCCTATACAGTACAATTGATAAATGCTTACGTTTGAAATCTTATCTTTTTCTAAATCAATATTTTCAATATATTTTACTTGTAACTCGTATTGTTTGACTGTTCAACAATTATATGATAAATTTATATATTTTGATATACAATTCATTCTTCATGTAAATAATTAATTTGATTTCAATTTCAATAGTGTGCAAATCTATCAAATTCTGTGATTTAAATGTGGATTAAATCTGTTTGAGAAGGCTTCATATTATTTCAGTGCTAATATTTCACATCAGCTATGAAAATATTCAATTTTGGATTGGCCTTTTAATATGTTAAGTTTGTACAACTGAATAAATAAAAACAATGGTTTTTTTATGTTATGAGTAAAATAAATAAAGGTAAATAAATAAATAATTCAATGAAAGAATAAAACAGTGTTCTTTCAGATGAATATATAGAAATGCTTTGTGATCTGCTTCCACATTTTATATATTCTATTCACATTCAGTTAATTAAGGCTATTTTTATTCAATGTATGTAATACATCCCTGAAGTAACTTTAACATGCTCAACTCTAAAGTTAGAGGTATATGTTTTGCTTCATTGTCCATGTGCTCATGAACACTCATAATTGGCCCTTTAATATGTTTAGTTTGTACATGAACACTCAGACCATATGTGTTTAGACAACAAAAGTTAAGTCAATTTAACTATCAGCCATTCTTTGAGCCTTGTTTACTGTTTTAAGGAGAGTGTTCAGACGAATAAAAAAGTTATGCCAGCTTTGATATTATCTCCTAAGTTATTGAGAAGTTCAAGGGTCACAATATCATTATAACTAATATGCAGCCACATCGCCAGGAATAAAATGGTGCTGGGGCTCAGATTTTGTAGTCAGAAAATTTTAAGAATTACGGCCCTAGAGAACCAATTTCTGACAATTTGGGGGTGCCAAAAACATATTAAAATCTATATCTTTTTGATTTTATACAAATACGCTGTAAATGAATCAATCTCTGCTGAACTGAAAGTACCGAGTTGCGTTCAGATTGTCAATCTAAGCTGGTGAACTTCTCAAGCCAGGTTTAAAGCCAGCTCCTAAGTAGGTTCACGTTAAGCTAGCTTCAGACGACTAAAAAAAAGTAGGCTTAAAGAACGGTTAATAGATAGGTTGCTAGACTAGGTTCTATGTTAACAATTTATTCTGATCATACTTAACTTATCCTGTTATCTCTGTTTCAGTCTAATACTCATGGATGTTATGGTACATTATGTGGTATTTTTTTTTTTTTTAGGTGAATGGTATCTAGTGAGGCTAGAATAAAATCATTTCAGTCAAGATGGGAGAGGAACAATTAGCAGAAGCAGCGACGGTCTCGTAAGTTTTTTAATGCATTATTTATATATATTATTATTTATCCATTTGCCAATTTCAGCATTGACCGTAAAAGACCTTGTGAATGCTCTAGAATCTGCACATTTTATCCAAATTTGATAAACTTTATTATCATTTACTCATGCTATTCTTTTAATGGTATCAGGTGGACTGGATCGGTAATAAGTTTTGTTGTTCACAAAGGCAGTATAATACATAGATTATGTTGCAAGTGTTATTGAGTTTAAATTGCTTTTTTTTTCTAAAATCACAGATGATATTTACAATCTAGTTAATAGCAGAATTTATTCAATATAAAAAAAAAAGAGTGGCAACATATTGTTGAAAATTTCATACCTTCACATACTAATAACTTTTACAACAATATGGTGTTTTCGCAACATATTGAATGAAATTGTTGCCAGTGTCTTCAGTACTTAAACTTGTGCCTCTATCTTACATTTTTATACATATTTTAGACATATATTGGCATCACCAATGTCTGTTGGTCCGGCCACAATTGCTCGTAAACACTCTAGAGTGTAGAAGGCACAATTTTTGACGGATATTGACAAAACTTGGTGTGAGTGGATAGGATGAAGCCTATCGAAAATCAAATAAATCAAAAATATTTTATATGAGTTATTGCCCCTGTTCTTGACACGCGCTCAACTTTTAGATCGTAAACACTCTAGAAAGCACAATTCTCAACACATTTTGACAAAACTTGGTGTGAGTGTTTGGAATCACCCAAGGATTATCCCTATTGAAAATCAAAAATATTTTATCAATTATGAGTTATTGCCCTTGTTCAAGTTCAAGTTTTAGCGTGTAAACACTCAAGAAGGCACAATTCTTAACTTGTTGAAATTGTTTTTTATCACCCATGAATAAACCCTATTGAAAATTAAAAGCTATTTTATTCGGAGCTATTGACCTTGTTGCTCGTTCGTGAAAATGCAGTCAATATTTTGGTCGTAAACACTTAAAGGCTCGATTCTTGTCAGATTTTGACAAAACTTTGTAATATTGTTCAGTATCACCCTTAGATCATTTTCACAAACATTTCTCTATAACTAGAGGTTATGCCTACATGCCTGTGCTTTTAAAATACCCAAAAAGTTCCAAAAGTTGTATGACTAAAATATTTCATACTGGTGATTGTTACTGTACTGCTAAATACTTTTATTCAAAATCAAAGCTGCCAGTGGGCGTATATTACTTTGCCTGGCAAGCTATCTTTTGATATGAGAAAACGTTTTTAAGTTATAAACATTTGAATTTGAGGCAAATGTAAACAAAGCCCACTCTTCATGGATGGTATTGTTATATAGATATTTTGCACTTGCTCTGTAGACAAAAATAAGTCTGTTTATACATTTCTAAACTTATAATGATTAACATGATTAACTTAAATGTATACTACCTCTTAGGATGTCCACAAAATTTGATTTTTAATCTCGACCAAAATAAGTATATTTATCAGTAGACTTACCTGGTATCATAACTATACAACAGGTTATTATTGAAATCGTTAAATATATTGATGTTTTTTTAATGATTACTCAGTTAAATAGATTTATCGGATTATACAGGGATTCTGTTGTAACTTTATTGATGAATATATGCTCATATTGACCAAGTTTGAGTCTTTAAATTTGATGTTAATTCTGAGAGGTAGTATTCCTTTGATTATTAAGTTTTAAACACAATCTCTGAAATCTTCATAAATCTGTTATCCAATTTCTTCTTATCTATCAGATCTCTGTCAAAAAGTAACTCAAGAAGCAAATGAAAATGAATAAGTTTTAGATTTTAAGAATATTTTTTTATATTCTATTATTATGTTTGTATATTTTAGAGCCTATAATATAGTAGACACGTCTAGAATATCCACATTTGTTATATCAATATTACTCATAGTATATGGAAGTTTTAGGTAAGTAGTTTTCCATTCTTTTAATTTTTTAGTATTTCCCACCTCTATTCTATAGTTAAAGGGACAAATTCACCATCCATACCTTAGTCTCAGAAACAAGATGAACTTTTTGACTAAGCTAAGTGTTCTTAGCTGACCGTTGGAATTTGAGCCTTCAAATCCATGTGTTTCCAGAATTAACTGTGTTTGAATGTTAAAATGACTCGTATTTTCTTGATACTATATCATATAAGCTTATAGTAAAGACATATATATAATAGAAATCAAAAGATATATTTGAAGGAATTATGCGATTTTTGTACATTTCTAGTACTTCTTATGACTATTTACTAATATATTCAAGTCCCAAATCAACCCTAGAAAATAAGGAGCCAGTTCTTTTTAAGAGATCTGTATGATATTGGTTGAGAGGAATCAAAACAGAACTAATAATATGTAGGCCTATTCCAAAACATCATTTAGTTACATATTAAACTCTTGTAATTCTGACCTAACTAAACTGCAATTGATATTTGTAGCAATGTGCAGCCAAGCCCTTCTTGAAATGCATGGCTTAGCATTTCTATATATGAATATAACCTATTATTTCCTTCAAAATTTGTTCAATATTACTCAATTCTTAATATCTTACATACAAATACCCCATATACCAGGTCAAACTATCTCTATATTTTGACTGTGGTATAAGTCTCTGCAATAATAATAAACTGTACATGGCGCAGAAATTTCTTGAATTTACCTTAATCTGATTAAAACAAACAATGATTTAGATACATTACAAAGTTATCTTAAACACTAACGTGTCCTCAAACCATAGAGATCACCAGTTGCGTATGGTTACAAATATGAATAGCGATCATAAGTTTCAAATGCAATTTCATGCACATGTGTTGTGAGTTGCATTCTATTCATGACCAATCTTATTTTTTGCAACCATACACAACTGGTAATCGCAATGTTATGAGGGCACATTATTAAAGCAACCACATCGTCTGTTCAATGAAAACTTTATGTACTTGCTGTGAGGAATAATTGAATTTTTAAAGACTTGTAATGTAAACCAATTTATATCAGTGCATTTAATAATTTAGTATTTAAAGGGACAAGTCTGCCATTTTGAGGGGTTGATTTTAGTCTTGATTATTGTTAATAATCTTCAGTTAGAAATGTACGAAAATCACATAATTCCTGTAAAAATACTTCAAACTAAGAATTTTTCTCACTATTTCTATATATGTCTTTTCAATATATCACAGAGTATCTTAAATTGATGAGTCATCATTTTAAAATTCAAACTCAGATAATTCTGGCCACACATGGATTTAAAGGCTACAATTTTGAAGGTGAGTTGTTAACACTATTACTGATTGGCTCAGTTAAAAAATTCCCGTTTCTGACACTAAAGTATGATTGGTCATAAAAATGGCCTACCTGTCCCTTTAAAACATAGATTTTTGTCAAATCATGAATGGCAAGTGAAGTTAGATTAAAATGTGCTTTTTAATCAGATTATATCCTACTAACAGCTGTTAATAGAATTATATCTATATTGTAATGTGTTCATTGTACTACTTTCAAGACAAAAACTATCATCTTAATGGTTTCTCTGGGACTATTTTGTTATTAGGTCATGTTCAATTTATTTCATTTGACTGTATAGTTTACTGAGATTTTTACACTTGGTTAAGATGATTCTTTGTTCATCAGTGGACTTACCTGGTGTCTTAACTATATAACAGAATCTATCTATAATCCAAGAAATCTATTAAACTAAGTAATAATCCATTAAACTAAGTAATTTTGAAACATGCTTAGAAGTGTGTTTCAATAGATATGTAGTTTAATGGATATTTAAGGAATGACCTGAACATTTTTTCAGTTTATCGATGTATAAACAGAAAAAACCTGTGTACACTATACACTTCCTAGAGTACAGCCAATCAGCAATAAGTAGGTCACCTATTTATAGTCTACTGCCTACTACATGAAAGTTGACGGAGCGGCCAAATTTGAAGTTCAATTATTGTAAGACTAATTCTAAATAAGTCCAGAATACGTCATATTGTTAGAATGTGGAGTGTGCACTTTCGAGGGAATTAGAAAATACCTATATCATAAGAGTGAGGTGTCGATTTCGGCTCTGTTGACGTTTGAAGGAATGACATCGATGCAGTGTAATGGCCACGTCAATCAAACTCAATGATAAAAGTAGTCGGATAAGGGGTGGAGCTTATATTTACATTCCATTTATACAGATATAAAAAGAATTCATGTGACAACTGTTATCCAATCAGATTGCTTGATACTGTTTAAACGGAATCTTGATTTAATTATATCATCTTATATAGGGATTCTGTTCTTTATTCATAGTCCAACTGATAAATATATACTCTTATTGATCATGTTTTTAGACTTAAAATATTATGTACATTCCAATTGCTACTATGACTTTTAACCTTCTTAAAAACCTTTCAATAAACTGTGCATACTTAACCTAATCTCAGTATTAATCTCATTAAAATAAATATTTTGAGGTTTGTTTTATCAAGATGTGAGTTATTTACCCATTATGTCTTTAACAACATAATATCGAGCCTGTAAGACAATGAACTTTTAACCATCAGATTATATGTTTATTCTCTTTAATATTTTCATCTTTATTGTATCAACTTCATCAAAAAATATCTTACTGATATTCTGACGTACTGGTCATTCCACCTCACACTAATAGCCAATTAAAGGAGCAGTATGCACAATTTTTATTATCAAAAATGTTGTAGATTATACCTAAAAAATATGCTATTTACATTTGTGTATCTATTTGATCAAACTGAATTTGTTAAAAAAAAAAGGGTTAATTAAAAGTGGAGAGTACTAATTGTTAATTAAGCAGTTTGATCTAGTTTTGGTGTTTGGCTTTATAATGGCTCGATATATATTATTAGTTGAAGCCTTTAGAGTACGTAGGAGACATATTTCTCTACAATTACATATTTATTTTGCTTAAAATGCAGTAGTTTTCTTACACTTTCCAAAAAGTTTAAACTGTCAGGTTAATAGGACATATTTCTGTAGCTTTTGGTGTATAAGCTTAGTTTTCACAAATTTGAGCGAAGTTGTTTATCCACTTACAAAACAATCATAACGCCCCTTTACAGTAACTAAGACTTGTTACAAAAGCTATTATTATAATATGACTAGCACTCTCCTAGTTTCATAATGATCTATTGTCATTATTCACTGTTCAAGATCTCTTTATAGTAGCTGTGTAAGTGTGAGAGAAATGAAGATATCATGTCAAACCTGCTGACAAGAATGTTAAAGAGTTTATAGATGATTTCTTTAACAAGTTGTTTAACTAGCCTTACTAGTTAATATATCATTTGTATTTTTTGCCATGTATTATCATCAATTTACATATATTTACACACGAGAAATTCAAATATTATTGCAAGATCGACAATTTATTTTTTTACTTGATTTAAATAGGCGTTTAAATGATTCAATATATTTGAATTATTGATCATTTAGTCATGCGTTAACTGGAATGCTAACAGGTTTTATCTACAATACTTATATAAATTTCTACAGATCAATATAGATATATGTATATTAATAACATGTGTATTATCTATCTTAGATCTGATATTTTTGCACCTGGCACATAACCATAGATTAAAATTATTAAAAAAATATATAGAACAAGTTATTGCACATAATATTTATATCAAAATGAAATTTATATGATATACCTGTAAGTACTTTTTTGGTATCACTTTTATAAATATAAATCTGATGTCACTTATAAAACCTATCAATTATGGACATGATGGCAATAAATTTGTAAGGGTGTTACATTTGCTCATTCAGAGATATTCATATTATTAATTCTAAGTTAACATCAAACTGTGTAGTTTTGTTTAAAGGTGAAAATTCGCCATTTTCAATTTAATGTATGTACATAGTCTTCAAAACTACTAGAACTGCACAATAATCGCTAATCGCATAATTCCTTTATATAGACCTCAAAAGCTTTATCACAAGCTGATTTTCTCTCAGAAAATTAGGGTATCCAAGACACCCAGACATTTTTTGCCACAGAGGTTGGTGGGGCCGGATGATTGAGTCTAATGTTTACACAAGACATAATTAACAGATATTCCAAATCTTGTAAAAAGATGAGTCACTTTTTTAACTTTTAAAGACTGATAATTATGGATATATGTGTCTAGAAGGCTTAAATTTCGACGGTGTGCTGTGAATACTTAAACTGATTAGCTAAGCTGGAAAATTCCAATTCTGAGACCGAGGAACGATTGACCCTAAAAATAGTTAACAATGAACTTTAAGCAGTGCATTTTATTGAGGATCTTGGCATTATTTTCAAGAGACAAGACTAGAAATTAGACTACACCCCTGTGTGTTTTTATAGCTACAGTACTATTTTTATCTTTAGTGAATGTGAGGTTGGGTAGTCTTTTCTTATTGCACAAAGTATATTTTTGGCATTTTTTGAAAAGATATTTTGGGTGCATTTCCTTTTTATTTTTTACTTGTTTCTTTTATGTTTTAAGTTATATTTATACTGATACTTTTACTGGTAATTTTGTAACCTTCAAATGAGATATAATTTATACATTAAATCATGATTAATAAACAAAATCGCATTCCTCATTATATGGGTGTCTTGTTTTGCTTTGAAAGGACTCACTTTGTGTGGATCTTCTGAGACAATTCTTGTATGAGGTCTTGTCCACCAATAGAGACTCTTTCAGGAGACAGTGGTAGGTCAAATGCCAGTCTCTTATATATACCAAAATGCCTTATTCATATGCTTCTCAGCTTTACACCTATTTTGCCACTTTAGATTTTAAAATTTTGATTTTAATTTCTTAAAAATGTTGTCACATGAACAATTTTAATTACAAAATCCACATTTTCGTTGACACAACTTGGTAATATGTTGGAAAGATGTTGTTGAACAGTTGGTATGAATATTATTAATACAGGACCAAAATGTTGTCAGTGTGTACAGTACTTAAGAAAGGTCCAGATTTTGACCCATTTTGTCTTGGCAATTTTTTGTATGAATATACATATATTAAAGTTTAAAGGGGCATTATGCAAAATTTTCATTTTCAAAAACATTCTATACCTGAAAATGTTTTTAATATGCTATTTATATCTATATATCTATTTGATCAAACTGATCTTATTTTAAAAGGGTTATTGGAGTGCACTTATTATTACTTAAGCAGCTTAGACGAGTTTTAGGATGAGGCCTCTTTAGAACTCAATTTTTTGTTGAAACCTTTAGAAAACGGAGGAGATATATTTTTCTACAATTAAGGGTTTATTTTGTTAAATCTGCGCAGTAGCTAACATCTCCCAAAAATGTAAAACGTAAAAAACAAATTAAGTGAATCTTTTAAATAGTTTTGGCGTTAAAAAACGTCAGGATTTTAAAAAAAAAAAAAAAAACTTTCTGATAAGTTAAGGAACAGATTTTGATATAAAAATTTCATTGAATTTTTTAAAAAAACAGAATGCTCCCTTTAAATGACCGATCAATCAATTAGGTTAATGTATATTTCTAGAATATAAAACTGCATTAATAACGATCATTGATATTGACTTGAAACAGTTGAACTAACTGAGTAAGAATACTATGTCTACCAATACTCAATTGTTTGTGACCTGGTTGACAGACTGAGAAACAACATACCACATTGGTCAAACAATTCTATGTCTATTTTTAAACTTTTTAACCCATTTTAGCTTCGGTCAGACATTTTTATCAATATTGATTTAGCTGAACTTTGTTATTTTTTAAGATCTAATTTTAAAGTTGCTTGTTAAGTAAATGGACTTATTTGTTAAAAGTTACATCCTGAGTAGTTGTAATCAAAATAGAAAACCTTTTGTTGAATTTTCCGGATTTTTGTTGTTTTTTACATGACTGTATGTGGTGTAGGCAAAATTACATATGATTTGATATAGGCAGACATTCATATCTTTTCCTTTCTTTTGTATTTTTAATGATTACTACTTATGGGGGGGGGGACACAAAAATGGTTTTGGACATAGACTAGAGTCTTGTCAAGAGTTTGCCACAAGAGGAGACATAGATCTCCAGTCAGTTGTTTTCCACTGTGTGAATCCTGCAATTGAAAGGAAAATGAATCTGATTGGATGAGGACACTCTGACTTGCAGCCAATAAAACAATCGGCAACAAATAAATCGTATTGGCAACGTGATAATGTGAGATTTTTCTCAAGATTTGCATCTGTGACAAAAAAACAGTGACAAAGATTGTACATGCACATTACAATATAAATTTAAGTTTGCTCAAAAAATTTTCAAATAAATTCTTGTGTGTGAGGAAACTTTAATTTATTTTTTATATCCCCTGTCACGGGGTTCAATTTGTTATAAGGAGGTTTTCTAGCTCTTTTTTGTTTCAGTATAATTTATGGTTTCTATTTGCATAATTCCAATATTCTGTCAGAAGTATGTTGGTCCTTCATTTATAGAAATACTTCACTGTATATATCAAAACTGCTCAATTATTAGTAGCTTTTGCAAAAGTGAGGTCATAAAATGCAAAGTTTTAAAGGAGTTGTATTTTTACAAAGTCATTAATGTTTGCAATGATGACCTTTATTTGATGCCAACATGTGAGAATCTGTCAATTGCAACATACCCACACTTTAAAATCTATTAATATATCAGCAATCTGCTTACATATTATATGATTTTTTTTATAGATATTTATATATCAATTTAATACTCCATGACCATATATTGCAACATATCAATAATATATTGATGTTTTCAACAGCTTTATTCTCAATTTCATAAAAATAATACTCTTAAATTTTCAAATAGATATATTCTGTATGTCTTTTTTTTCAAGATACTATTGTCATAACTTGCAATGATCAAAGTAAAGTTGAGGATTACTTTGATGAAGGCCAATTACCATATCATCAATAAATATTTATATTTTTTGTAATTCATTTTAGATCTCTGAATTTAGAAAGAGAGAAAAGATTAGAAAAAGAAAAGAGTGAAAATCAGAAACCACCTGTTTATGTTGCTGGTACCAATGGAGGGGAAACTGTTAATGAAACTCGTAAGTTCCTTAATAATGTTAATCATAACTTCAGCTTTTTAATCAATTTCTATACGTCCACATATAGTATATTGTAAATCACCCTGTCTGTCCATTCGTTCACATTTGGCTTGTGCTCACTCTATAGGCTACAATTCTTCATCCACTCGTCAAAGGGATTGTATAGAGGTTTTCTAAACTTTTTATGTGTATTGGTTGTGATGTCGTAAAGCGCTTAGTTTTAGTAGAATTGCTATAACCACAGACATCAGAATGAAAATTGGAGGGTAGCAAATTGAATCTATGTGTCCCTGATACACATAAGAATTTTTTAGAAAACCTCATTACAATGCCATTTCACTGTGGTCTTAATCAGTTTTTCCACTTAAAAAATTCGCTTGTCGCTCCCTGATAGACAACTTTGTTGGCTCATGTGGTTTGCGTGTCAAAATAATACATCCAAATTTGTAGTTTGATAGATTAACTTTAAAGTTCTTGTGAACTTGCATCATGTGCAGGTTGACTTGTTTTTAATTTGATGTTTTCTTGGCTTTTAACCTTTGTTAATAGAAACAGGTAAGTGCAGTATGTTCACACTGCATACTGACACCTGTATAAATATGAAGGGTGGGGGTTAATCTTACCTTAATTATATATTTGTTTGAAGAAATATTTACTTTGTAACATACTGTACTTAGATCATGAAACATTACACCTTTCTTTTTAACAAACTATCCTAGAAACTTTGTATTCAAATGAACTTTCTTCTTGTTAATTTTTGCTAATCAGTGTTTTTGACCTTTTATCTCACTTGTCCCTTAGCTTACCTTACAAATATCAATATTGATAATATGGCAAATTTCGGAGCATTTATTTGCATATGCAATTTAATATGAAGTGTAAGATAGATCCAGCCGCGTGGCCAGGAATGAAATGGAGCTGGTGCTCGGATTTTGTGCAAGGTTGTGCAGGCGGGGCGACTCAAGCTCTATGAGCTGGGGGCCCTCCACTATGAAAATTTGAAAATAAGAAGCCAGAAAAAATCATAACTACTGATTTCGAAACACCAAACACCCTATCCAAATGTTTTATCCTTTCGGTTGTGTAGGAAAACACTGCAAATTAATTAATCTCTTCTGAACTGAAGAAGGTTTTACTGGGGTTTACGGGGGCAGCTTCAATGATTAACCCTTATTTCTTCTAACACCTTTTTAATGTTGTTTTTGTAGAAGTGCAGACAATAGATAGTTGTCAAGCTATGTTTTTACCACTAGGAGCCTCAGCATCATTGCTTATCATGTTCTTCTTCTTTGATTCATTACAAATGGTTTTTGCTATTTTTACTGCTAGTAAGTATTGCGGTTTCTTTTACATAAATTTTAGCTTTATGTGCTGTATGATAAAAACCCTTCTCATTCATTCTATGACATTTTCTCATAACATTTATGGATTTGTGCTCTATCTGAACTTTTTAAATTTGGAGTGTTTGTACCGTATGATTTGGCAATATTAAGTCTAAAAAGATTTATGTTGTTGCCCATGATTAAGTTGAAATATGAATTAAGGCTACAGTAGGAGATTGGGCCTTGTTAGTTTGTCCATAAAACACTAGAAACATGCTGATATGGAAGACCCAATTATGCTACACTCAAAGACACTATATAAGTTTTCAGTTTCCAGTGGATGTTTCCTTACATTACCTACAAAACTTGTATACTTATCTTAGAAATTTGGGACCATGGCATTTATTTATATTGATTAAACTTTTTTTCAGTATTAGCAACAATAGCTTTTGCATTTTTATTATTACCTATGTGTCAGTATATGATTCAACCCTGTGCTAGTGGTCAAAAGTGAGTATTTTATATCGTTTATAATTGTTACATTTGGCATACAGTTATTTGAATATGATGTTACAATTCTGGATATAGAGCCACTTACAATTACAATATCAAATTTAACTTCATTTGAAAATATTGCTTTTCCTTAAAAAAATGCTTAAAGATGGGTTTTCCTTATTTTCATTTATGAAAATGAAAATGCTAATACTTATATGAATAGAAAGTAGAGGTGTTCTAATGACTTGGAAAAATACCAGTTTGTCTCACATGTCCATAATTTTATTCATATTTAGCTAAATTAGAAGAGAATTACCAACAGAATTCCAATGAGTTTTCTTAATTTGACACTAAAAAATAAGGAAACCCATCTTTAATATACTCATGTTTTCCAAATATAGCCAAATTAACCAAACATGATGGACAGGAATACCTGAAATTTCAGCTTAAGGAATTTTAACAACTATATCTATTTATAATAAGGATAAATATAAAAATTTAAAATTTCTCTTCAACTTTCTATCTATGTTATACAACAGTTTATTTTTTGTGAATAATTTGTGTCCATTTTCCCCTAATTCCATTCAACCAAATCCTCAAACCTGCTTGTGATTTCATTTGAGCTGTCAACAACATAAACAATCCATAAAAATTTCCATAATTTACAATTCTTGATCACTTTTGCATAGGATCTAAAAATTTTTCTTTCAGAATATCATTTGGTGTCTGTGGTCGTTTCACAGCAGCTGAGATTCTGTCATTTTGTTTATCATTTTTTATTGTATGTGTATGGATATTAACTGGTCACTGGCTACTCATGGATGGTATGTATGATTAAAAGGAACTGATATGATGTAGATTTTAGAAATAAGAATAAGAGTAGACTATAAAGAACATATATCACACCATAGTGATAACAGGTTGCGAATAAGAATAGCGGTCATAAGTTACGAATGCAACTCTCATGCAACCGAGTTGTGAGCTGCATTCAGAACTCATGGCTCCTTTCATACGCATCTTGCAATCGATATGGTGTGAGGGCACCTCTAGTTGTGTTTTAAGAAAAACATAAACTGTCTATTCTCTTATGATTTTTATATGCTGACAGTAATGTTATTGCATTAATATTTTTGTTGGAGAAAATAGTATCAGAGGAGCAGTGAATTATAGAATCCCTGTGAATCACCGTTGCTGAGTTATTTCATTACAATCATGACCTTCAACCAGAATCTAATTATGAAAAACACTATGGAATCTTTTGACTATAAATAACTTTATTTGTTATTTCAGCTTTAGGCATGGGTTTATGTGTAGCATTTATAGCTTTAGTTCGATTACCTAGTCTGAAAGTTTCCACCTTATTATTAGTTGGATTACTGATATATGATGTTTTCTGGGTAATTATATTTCTCTTAACTAGATTTTTACAAATAATTTAAATAATTCTGACTTGATGTGTGGCTTATGCAGTCAACCGTAGAAATAGCAAGCCTAGAATACAAATGTAAAGGTACCGTAACTTATAAATAAAATCATGATCTATTCATTTGAAAATCATTGTACATTTACAGAGACTTCATCCAAAAATCTATGTACAAATCATTGTACATTTAAATAGACATCCTGACTGTATACTTATAATAATTGGTCAAAAACTATCCTATATCATTATAGATATTATAGTTTGAGTAAAGAACTATCTTATATCATTATAGATGTTATAGTTTGAGTCAAAAGCTATCCTATATCATTATAGATATCATAGTTTGAGTCAAAAACTATCCCATATCATTATAGATGTTATAGTTTGAGTCAAAAACTATCCCATATCATTATAGATGTTATAGTTTGAGTCAAAAACTATCATATAATTATAGATATCATAGTTTGAGTCAAAAGCTATCCTATATCATTATAGACATCATAGTTTGAGTCAAAAACTATCCTATATCATTATAGATATTATAGTTTGAGTCAAAAACTATCCTATATCATTATAGATGTTATAGATTGAGTCAAAACTATCCTATATCATTATAGATGTTATAGTTTGATCAATAACTCGTACTATATCAAGATAAAAAGCTTGATTCCTCAGATAAATTTTTAAATCTATTTCTGTATATTTCAGGTATTCTTTTCCTCATATATATTTAGTGCCAATGTTATGGTGAAGGTAGCAACCAGACCTGCAGAAAACCCTGTGAGTATATCATTAGGATATTATGTCTAGTCTAATAATAATCAGGAAATCTTTAAAATGACTTCTTATGTCTGAAATTTTGCATTAAATACATATTTACTGCTGTGCTACTGCTCTGTTCCATTTGATTTTCACAAACCATAAAATTAGAGACTAGGTTCAGTTCACTTACAACATGGCAAACGATTTGGATGGATTTACAAGGCAGGGCTTTAGTGTCTGGCAGTGCCAATCAAGTATTTGGAAATGTATTGTCTGACATTGGCATTGAAAAAAAAACATATAACCAGTTAAGCACCACCATCATTCATTATAAAATCCAGGTGCATATTTTTATCAAACCTTAAGTTTTAATATATGACTAATTGAACTATATATTTTTTTGTATTTTAGGTTGGACTATTAGCCAAGAAACTACATTTAACAGGTTTTGTTCGTGATGCTCCAAAACTGTCTCTTCCAGCCAAATTAGTCTTTCCCAGGTAGTTGTATTTTTGTAAGAGAATCTTTCTATTTTTCACTTGAGATACTTTGTCAAATGTCATATTGGATTGAAATTGAATTTTACAAGGCATTTTAGATAAGAAGTCAAGAGACATTCGAGATGCATTGACAGAAGCTATTTGAGATGAATTTATAGAAGGCATTTGAGATAGAAAGGCACAAGGCATTTGCTATGGAAAGGCAGAAGTCATTTGATATAAAAAGTCAGAAGGCATTTGAGAAAGATAAAATCTTGGGTTCACAAGGATTCTTTCTACTAGCTGTTATAATAATATCTCATTCAAGGTCAGCTGACTTTCACACAGTTACAGAGATCAGAACCAAAGACCACAGGACATACGGATGCATGGTCAACAGACTTTTAATTTATGGTATTGAATATTAGATGAATTTCTTACTCAATTCTCAAGTATAACCAGTATCCATGGTTGGCTGTGTAAGCTCTGATTTTGCTGTACATATTTTATACTTTTTACTTATTATATTTCAGTTCACAAAACTCTAGTCATTTCTCCATGTTAGGACTTGGTGATATAGTAAGTATATGATTTTTTAACCCTTCAATCTATTATCAGGTATTGAACCATGCTTTAATAACCTTAAAGCCCAGTTTGTGTCTGCACAAAAATGAGCATGGATAAGAATTGCAAGAGAAGTTTTTTGAAAATGTTTGCATTGGGTTTGAAGCTTACGCTTTGTTCTGGTTATTGTTAGTGCTGATTTTAACTAAAAAAAATGTACATGTATATTGATATTATAAAAATGATATTATTATTATTGTAGGTAATGCCTGGTTTGTTACTATGTTTTGTATTACGCTATGATGCTTATAAGAAGAATCAAACAGGCAGTGCTGAAACCGGTATACCACCAACACCATCATATGTACAGAAATTAACTTATTTTCATTGTTCTCTAGTAGGATATTTCTTAGGTATAATCATTTACATTATCTAATGCCACACTGACACTTGCGCGATATTTGTCCAAGTAATGGTCGTGACAAGGCGTTAGGTTTTCGGCACTTTGCTATGGAGCTCAGCATTTAAGGCCTGACGTGCTGTGCAAGTAATTGAAACACAAGAGCAATAAATGTTAAGTGAAAATTTGTGGATTGTTTAAAAAATTTATAAGTGCCCATTTTTGAACATTTGAAAATTGCTAGTTCACAAATACATTAATCATTGGCATGCCGATTTTCGTTGTGTGCCATCTTTCATTACAAATGTGCACATTTTTTTCATTGAAATTTACTATTCAATTCAAATCAAATTTTGCAACTACAGGTCTTTTAACAGCAACAGTATCATCTGAAATGTTTAGAGCTGCCCAACCAGCTCTACTTTATTTAGTTCCATTTACATTACTTCCACTTCTTACCATGGCTTATTTAAAGGTATGTTCTATTTTGTACTCAAATCTAATCAAATTATTAGGCTTACTTTTTAACAAAATTCCATGTGTTTGTATCTTTAAAGCCCTATAACAAGGGTTTTCAATCTGAGGGTAATTTTTGATTTTTTTGGGGGTTAATGAGGTGCTTTGTATTTCAGCATAAAATTTTGGGACAATTATAGTTTTGGGCGTTCTTTTCAGTCAGCCTATATTGAAAAAGATCGTAGGGCAAACCTAAGAGAAAATTAGGAAATAGTAACTAGGATTTATAGGGGTAAAAGGGTAATAATAAGGATTTATAGAGGGTAGAAGGGGTAATAATAAGGATTTATAGGGGGAAGGCGGTAATAGAAAGGATTTATAGGGGGAAGGGGGTAATAAGGATTTATAGGGGAAGTGGTGTAATAATAAGGATTTATAGGGGAAGAGGGATAATAATAAGGATTTATATGGTGAAGGGGGTAATAATAAGGATTTGTAGGGGGAAGTGGGGTAATAATAAAGATATATAGGGGGAAGTGGGGTAATGATAAGGATTTGTAGGGGGAAGAGGGGGCGATAATAAGTATTTATTTTAATTGATCAAGGATCCTGAAAGGGGTAATAGAAAAGAAAAAGTTGAGAACACCTGCCCATAAATTCTGGACAAATGGATTGTCTCAATCTGAAAGAATTTTTTATGACAATACCTCAGGTCAGCAATCCTAACATATTTTCCTCTAGACATCATAGGAAATTTATTTTGGTTTATGTATGTTTACAGGGTATTTTTCAAACGTATTTTATATTATTTTGTTTTAGGGTGATTTAAGGAGAATGTGGCATGAACCATTCATAGCAAGCGTTCCTTCAAAACATTTAGAAGTCTAGCATAAGTTACCAGTGATCATACAGAGAAACTTTGTGTTGGATTGGATTTTAGATAAAGGATATTACAAGCACGGCTAAATATGAAAAAGATGTTTTTAATCAAGACAAGGTACTTTAATTTGCCTAAAGTGAAAAAAATATGAGTGCAATAACAAAGATTTTAATTTTTCACAAATATTAAGAAAAGCTGTGCGCTTCCATTTTTATATGTATAAAAAAATTAATGAATACTAAAGAAGAGAGATACAAAGTAAATCTGCTCAAAGTGAAGTGCTGTTTTTTAAAACAGAATCAGAAAACTGGAGTTTGGTTGAAGTTACATTTGAATTCCTGAACTGGAAAAAATGAAAAGGTTTGCACACTGCTGAGATAAATAGATAAACTATAAATGAAGTGTGGAGAAAGTTTTCATTTCAAGTTCTTGAGGTTTTTTGAGTAAAAATGAATTAAAATGGCGAAATATATACCATTATGTATCAGGGGCACAAAATAATAGACAACTTTTGTGAAGAAATAACCTCTGGTCTACCCTTGGTAACATTATAAAGAGCTTCAAATACAAGATTCGGGGATGAGGAATGTATCTCTTCATAAATGTGATAAGTTTGAAGTGAATCCATATATCATCATAATCATTTCCAATATCCATTTCTATAACTTGTACAAACTAATCAACAGACTGAACTCTAAATAGATTTTATGTTATTTAAGGTTTGGACAATAGGTATTGTTTTATATTGTTTGATTTTATAGTTGTCATTTCATTCATTCAATAATCTATCCTGATCATTTTTATTTTAAGTCAATAGATGATCATTTCAACATGTAATTTTAAGTCAATAGATATATACATGATTTGAGAGCTTGCTTGGCAAATGGTAGCATTTTTCTTAGAAAATAATATTGAATTATTTAGAATTAATTTGTAATCTGTAATCTATTGAATCTATTGCGTTGCTTTAGCGGTATATTGAAACTTTTCTAAATCAGCAACATTATGCAGGCATTTAATATTCATTATAGATTATAATTGATTAAAGGAATACTACCTCTTAGAATGGACATATTAAAACTTTAATTCTTAAACTTGGTCAACAAGTGTATGTATATATTCATCAGTTGAACTAACCAGGTGTCATGACTAAAGAATAGAATTTCTATATAAGACGATATATCTATTAAACTAAATAATTATTGAAACGCACTTCTAAGCATGATTCAAAATTACTTAGTTTAATGGATTTGATTATAGACAGATTCTTTCAATTGTCATCCTAAGAGGTAGGTTACCTTTAAATGTAAAATTGAGGGGCGCTC